CCCTTTGGAGGATCCAAAAAGTAGATCCCTTAATGGGGGTTCCTATAAGGTACGCTTAGTAGTATAGGGCCCCAAATTAGGGGATCTACTTCCACTTATAGATCCCTAAACCCTAAACCCTAAAGGATCCCATAAAGGAGCCCAATAAGGCCCCAAATTCAGGGGATCTACTTTCTAGATCCTCCCCGGGGTCTGGCAACCGATCCCTCTCCTCCTGGTCATCCGAGGATAGAGAGGCCACACTCGGTTTAGGGTTAAAGGTTTAGGGTTTAGGTTTAAGGAACCCCTTTAATCTTAAACAACCGGTAGAGTCCGTATAGAACCCTGAAACACCCCAAGAAAAAAAACACAAAACACACTGCTCAACAAAAGCAGCAGATGAACCTCGCAAAACTTCCAAAGCTGCCTTGCTAAAACAACAAAACCCATAGGCACCGGCGCAAAACCATAGGTAGACTTTTGAAAATCCTGCAAAGGACTCTATGAAAAACCCAATAAATGCCGTTCAAAGACCCTGACAGAGTCTGACAACAAAAGAAGCTCTAAACAAAGCGGTGCTTTGCCCTTCAAGCGTGCAGGAACGTAAACAAGCTACACAACTCTTTGTCAAGCCCTATTGTTCTCCCCTCGTGGCTGAAACAGCATGTTCATATCCGAAACCCCACATGTGAAGCCTTATCAAAGCCCCTAAACCCCAAACCCTGAATGCCACATCCACTAAGCCCTAAACCATTTAAAGCCTCGTGCTGCTCACTTAGGGCCCTGGCCGCCGTGATCGGCGGCGACCTCGCCTGACAAAGACAGCACTTCTTCTTGCGGTTGTTGCTGTGTCAGGATTTGGAACGTAAGGGTTTTGGGGCTTACGGGTTAAGCGCTTAAGGCTTTTGGGGCCTAACGGTTCAGGGGATTCGTGTGTTGTTGACTGAGCGGCTTTTCTGAAACTGCGAAGTTTGGATATATAAACCCTTTAAGGCTAGAAAAGCGAAAACAATCATGCGTCCAAAAGCTTATGCTAGTTTTTGGCTTGTTGACTTTTGCTTCGAGGGGCGAATGGTACAGAAAGAAACAAGGAAGAAAGAGGAAGAGAGAACCACGTTTGAGTGTGTGTGCATTTGTTTATTTTAATTAACGAACCGTGTTTACTTGGCCCACTAAAAGTATGACGGAAAGAAAGCTTTGGTTTACCAGCTAGCCTGGTAATGGTTCGTCTGGAAGAATTAGCACGGACCCGAGAAGGAATTCTGCGAAATAGGATCTTATGCTGTTCCCATAGTTAAACCTATTTCAATCGGAGCCTTTGGTAAACTCGCTACAGCCCTACTCTATGCGTCCGAATTGGCCCCGTTGCTGCAATGGTTTGCTTATTGCTCGACAGGACCCTACAAAGCGTGCAGATATGCATATAACTGTATGTACATACGCATCTGGCTATCTAGCTATCCAACTATCCTTGTATCTATCTATCTATCTATCTATCTATCCACCTATCCAATTCATCTTTTTATCGTACCGTCGAAGTTGTTGTCGTTGCCCTCACGGCTTGGACAGAGCCGCTGATCTTCAGCAGCTTATCTTCTCCGCTATTCGAGAGGACACTTGAAGATCAGGCGACTTGACATGTCGTTTATTATGAGTAGAGTCTTAATGGATTTACGGCGTACTCGCCTTTTGTAAGTATGGCTGGCTAATTACAGGCTGGAGTAGACTAAATCCTTGCCTCACACAAACCAGCTAAGTCGCCGGATCTTCGAGGTACTGAGCGGTGCTCGAGAACGACGTCTCGTGCTTAAAACCCGACAGCTTTCAGAGTGCCCTGCTTGGAGGGTCCGGGGACTTAATTGAGGTCATGGTACTTATTATATTATAAGACCCTAAAATAACCAGTTACTAAGCCCCCCGACCCTCCAAGTGGGCGTGACTGTCAACTTGTCCCTGAATCCGCCAAGCCTGAATGCTCCACCCTGCTTGAAGGATGCAGCAGAATGCAGCAAGTACGCATTACATGGGGTGACATGCAACCTGCGCGGGGCTATCCTAACTTTACCCTCGTTTGACAAGTACCCGGATTGCACTGATCTGGCAAGTAGACCCAGTACCGTAAATCCAATGTCCGTGAAACCTTGTAAAGCTCAAAGGTCCCCGAACCCGGCAATATGTAGTACAGATCCACCCAAACAACTTAAATGTCCCATCTGAAAACTTGATTTTGCTATGATAAAAACATCCTTTCTGCAAGGGCATTGATTTTGGGATCCCTGTTGCAATCGTGAGAAGGCAAGCGGTATAGGTTTTTCACCTGGAGTTGACATGAACCTCAAACCCCTTAAACTAAACTATGCGATAAAACCCCTATCAAACGCAAATAAAATCCCTGTAGAGACCAACTATAACTACAAACCCTAAGCCCTAACACCTGAACTCTAAAGCCCTTAAGCCCTAAACCAGGGACCCATGTTTAGGTTACAGTGGCTGAAGCTCCGCAGCATGCAACCAAGCTGGCATTTTTCAGTTTTGCAGCTCGGAGCAGAACACCTACTGAAGTGGTCGGAATAGACAGGAACAGTGTTCCCTTGTCCCCTTACCAATAGAACATAAACGGACGTCAAACTCCTATCATGACTGTGAAAACCCCTTTACCCAGAGAGCTCAATACCCCGTAATTAAGGAATATACCTCGAATCATGATATGAAGCCCTTTATACCGCAGAACGTAGGGGCCTGAATGATTCAGAATAGGGTTTGGGGTATACTATACCATGGTTATTTGAACGAGCCCCCAAATCCCCTATTCTAACTATTGAGGTCCTACATTGCATAAACTCCTAAAGCCTAAACTTACGCCCAAACCTGAAGACGATAAATATGCAACTCACCGTACAGGACCTACAAAAACCTCCTAAACCCTAAAACCTGAAGCCGAATTTGCAGTTGTAGCATTCTGTCGCATCCGGATGAGCACTGCCTCCGATTAAACTGTCGGCAGGGCAGAGGCACTCAGCAACAAACCGTGTCGCCGGGACAAGGAAGGCATCAATTCCACCTATGCGGTCACTGTTTTTCGGTGTAGGTTTTCAGGGCTCTGTATAGTACGTAAGTGTACTCTACCATGGGGATTTAGGGCGTGGGGTTTAGGGTTTGTTGCTTAGCCCAAAGGGTCCTATGTACCGATATCGTAGAATGTAGGGTTTCCATATTAGGAATTACTATTATGACTCAGGGAAGTCTCAGGGAAGTACCCCCCCCATAACAATACATAGGACCCTTTGCTTAGGTTGGGCAGCTTTTTTCCCAGACCCCCAATAGGATCTCGAAAGTAGATCCCCTAATTTGGGGCCCTACACTACTAAGGGTACTTTATAGGAACCCCCATTAAGGGATCTACTTTCTGGATCCCCCCCTAAGCCCTAAACCCTAAACCCTAAAACCCTATAGATCCCTTAAAGGGACCCTTAAAGGAACCCCTAAAGGAACCCCCCATTAAGGGATCTACTTTTTGGATCCTCCAAAGGAGGTCTGAGTTTGATGTGCGTCTCAGGCATCCGACGTCGGCATCTCCCAAAAAGCATCCTCCGGACGGGCCACAGAGGTCCGGGGTGTCGCAATTTAGGGTTTAGGGGTTTAGGGGTTTAGGGGTTTAGGGCTTAGGGGTTTAGGGCTTAGGGGTTTAGGGGTTTAGGGTTTTGGGTTCGATGGTTTAGGAAAGCAGATGGGATCTTGCTCAGAACAGGGCCTGACTACTTCGGAATATTTGTCACCTCAGACCCGAAACTCTGCCCCCTGAGGTTACCGAAGATCTCTAAAGCTAGTCATACGGCTGATGATATGAATCCTGCATGACCCATAATAAGGAGTATACCATACTTCCCATAGTTTAGGGTCCTTAAGGTAATGCAGGAATAAGGAATACATCATATCATCATCAACCGCAGCCCTGTGCCTGATCGAAGAGGCCGAGAGGCCCACCGTGCTGTGTACAGTGAAGTATGGAAGCAGCAGGCCCGGGGTTTTGGGAAGTGCAAATCCCACAGGCACATATGATAAATCATGTTCGGCTATGCTATGCTATGCTATATGATGATATATTCTGTCGACTTATTTTAGTGCATGTCCTTGGATCATGCTTATATACATACACCTGAGTCTACATGCACATGCACACATATGGGTAGTTGTCAAAATTAGTGGCTCATAGTTACAATACGGCACCTATTATTTAGGGTACCCAAAAAGGGACCCCAATTCTGACAACCACCCATATGCGTAGAGGAACCCTCAGACATGGCATTTGTAAACACTCCCACACCTGTACTTCCCCTACCGCTGAATATGTCCCACAAGATCGTCGAACACCTGGGTACCGAAGGAAACGACACCAGAAGTCAAAGGGTCCTCTGTTCCGTTACGGGGGGGGTACTTCCCTAAGTCATACTCGTAATTCCTAATATGGAAACCCTACATTTCCATATCGGTACATAGGACCCTTTGTGGAAGTCTCAGCGCCCCTAAAGATCGACTTCCGCAGAAACAGGCGCTGTACTTACTACGCCAATAAGCCACAGAAATCAAAGGTTAAACTTTCCGATTCCTTTTAGACTATAAGAACCCAAACAGTTTAGAGGTTAGGTATTGGGATCTTAGTGTAACACTTCGAAATTGCAGAGGGCACGAGGGATGTCATAGTAAAACTGTACACCGACGGCAAGGCGAACCTATGACCTCTACTGTATCACCATGCTAGAGGTGCAGAGAATGGAGGCCCATCCGCCAGCAAACTCGTAACCCTAAGCCATACACCCTTACATCCTACTTGTCGGGTCGGGTATCATGGGGAACTAAAAGTTAACCTTTTTGGTTATATAGGGATTATATAGGGACTATACTACCCCAAAAAGAGGTTAAAGGTTACCTACTCGACTACTAGGTAAATCCTACTTGAAAGACCGCCTCTTCGTACTCCACAGGGAAAATGCCCGGGAGAAACCTGGGGAGGTGAGGCTCAGATGCTTTTAGGTTTTTGGGTTTCGGGGTTGGGGCTTGAGGAGTTTCGGGTTTAGGGATTTGTGGGTTTAGGGGTTTGGGGGTTTAGGGGTTTGGGGTTGAGAGGTCTGGGGCTTTAGGGGGTGGCGGTTTAGGGGTTGAGGAGTTTGGGGTGTAGGGGGTTTAGGATGTCGCAGACTAGGGGCAGCAACGAGTGCTGTTCGGGGTCTGAAAATGACAACCGTGTTCTGCTAGCTTTGCGAATACAGAACAATCAAGACATGCAGCGAAGCCAAAGCCAAGGAACAACAAAGAAATCAAACGCCGACTATGTTAAAAGAGTGTGAGTTACGATACAGGCGGCTTGACCTTGCAAGCGTACACTACAAGAAACCAACAGAATATATACACCCTATTCTAATCATTAAAGGCCCCGGTACTATAACCTTAATAGGAACCCTTATGCAGCCACCAGACTGGAGCAGTATGGAGTGTCCTAGTCTATGACTGAATGAACATCACTTGAAGATAGCCGTCTATGAGAAGATCCGCTTTGCTGCATAGGTTGTGATTGTGTGCTTGGGATCACCGTCACTTGTTTCAGTATTCAGTTTCTTGGCGGAGCCCTAAACCCAAAACCCCAAACCTTAAACTTAAACCCGAAACCCGACATGGCTTTAGTTCTATTTTAGTAAGAAGCCAGTCCTCAGCCCGAGAAACCGTCACACCCCAGTCTGGTATGCTGAAGCAGATAACCGCATCAGTTCAAATCCGCCGCCCCGAAACCTTCAGAAGCCTATGCCATATGCTAATCTTGACTTTTGGTTATTCTACGACAGTTCTTGTTTGCATCCCATGAACACTAAGGCTAAGACCCTTGTGAAGTCTGCAGTGTGAGAGGCTGTTGCTGAGACCCTTTCTCGCTTCAATGGGAGGAGGTCTAAGACTCAAATCTGCACACTCGTTTACGGCCTAGGGTTTAGGGTTTAGGGTCTCCAAAGCCCCAATCTGCCCTACTTCGTCGTGTTTGGAGGTGTAACGTCTGACGATTAGTCAGAGGTTACATGAAGGGGCGGCTGTGGAAAGGGTCAGCTCTTTCGCCACAGACATCGCTCCATGGGTGAGCTTTTCCGTGAAGGCCGGTGTGCAGGACATCGTCTGCTCCGTGCCATGCTGCAATGTGCCCACAGAATGCCTTCTTTCTCGGACAATGGCCAGCAAATTCGGGAAAGCCGTTCGCGGCAGGCCAACTGAGCATAAGCTGCTCCGTCTGAAACTGAGTTTGCACGGCTCTGGCAAACTAAAGCTGCGGGCTCCTTGTCAGGATCCTTCATCTGGGAGTTTCCGAAAATAGGGGTACCTCATTTTGAGGTCCTTACAACAAGGATCCCACTCCTTAGGGTGCAAAATTAGGGTCGGTTGACTGTTCGAGAAGTCCCCTCAATAGTGAACACTGCTGTTCCTTGGGTCCTTGGTACTTGTATGATTCTTATTCTGATTCATCTTACCGTATCAAACACCCCAAAACCCGGTTCTCATTGTTGAGGCCCTTATACTAAAGGTTTTAGCATTGTGTGGCATCGCCTGGGCCTAAACCGTATAAGACCTTAACCCAAAAGACCCGAACATTAACAGGTAATGCGGGTTATGATTGAGGTAACTATACTGGTAAATACATATATTGATCTCCACTTAGGGTACTTCTAACTTACTAAGTCCCATGATCCTCCAAGTGCTGATACCCTAAACCCTTCTAGTACCCCTCTAGACCCCTTAAAAGGACCCTTAGACCCTAATTTTCCACTGTACCAAGTCTCATGTGGGTGGTTGTGAAAGTCCCCTTTTTGGATCCTTAATATAATACGGCACCTAATATTTAGGGTACCCAAATAGGGACCCTAATTTTGACAACCACTCATGTATTGAAACCCTGATATTGCCATGCGGCGTGTTGAGAGCGGTGAAGGCCGTAGACTTCGGGAAAAACATCTTGTGTGAGACGTATTGGCCCTCCCGGAATTCACCTGCAGCTTCTTGAAAACTGTGGGGTTTTATGTAGGCGTGCCTTAATAATTAGCAAGAGGTTTCGGGGCCCATTTTCCTATAGTTATGATGAGGCACCCCCAAAAAAGCACAGGTAATTATTAAGACCCCTTGATTCTGTGATTGCTTTAAGGGCCTCTTTGGGGGTTCCACTGGGGGTGCTGGGGGGATTTAGTGCTTACGGATTGGAGTTTAAGTTTAAGGCTTAAGGGCGTAATACCCCTAACACTTACACCCGAAACCGTCAGACCTAAACCTATGGCACTGTGGGATTCCTCGATCTTTCCAATGCGTCCCTAAGGCTCCATGTACGCATGTCAATGTAGTGTATACGCTGGCCCCAAAGTACGTATACATGGACCCATTAAGGCCTAAGTACATACCCAGAGAACCGAATACCCCTTAATTAGGGATTATACCTTAAATTATAGGCGGCTTCATATTATGATTTAAGGCATATTCCTTAATTAAGGGGTATTGGGATCTCTGGGTACTAGATGGGTACCTGGAGCCTTCGGGTGCGTTTGGGAGGGAGATTTCGCCCACAAGGACTGCATGTCGCAAGTTGGCCAGGCAACGAGGCTCGAACACCCTCAAACAGCAGTAGCATAGTAGCAGTAGTAGTCGTCGTCGTTGTCGTCGTCTTCGTCGTCGCGGTAGTAGCTTCGTGCACCTCAAACGCTGTAGTCCCTTCATTCACCTTCAGAAGAACGGAGGAAGCTTGACTTTCAGAAAAGTGATTCAACACCCCTGAACCTGAATCCCTGAGCCCGAAATCCTACAATCACCAAGCACCTAATCTAGTGACCTGAGTAATCATGTTAGGGTGGGGTATAATATACTATAGCATAACGCATCGTATATTTCTAGTACTGAACTTCACGGAACAGTTTGCTAATTATTCAGGCTTCTTATCTACCCAGCTTTTGTGGCGTGAAAAACGGACCCCCGGAGCTCAATACGGTTAGGCTAAGTATTCCCTGTGTATGTACTTAGGACCTTCGGGGAACCCCACTGCCCTAAAGGGCTTCTGGATGCACACTTGAGAACTATAGAAAAACAATAGAGTTTAGAGTTTAGGGGTTTAGGGTTTAGGGTAATGGTAATAGTAGACAAAGTCATGCGCTGTGATAATAGCAATAGTACTAATAGGAATAACAATAACACCTTCTCCTCGGGCTGTACTTTTGGCCCTAAACCCCTCTGGGTTCGGCTTCAACAGGCTCCGCAAGGCGGCGTATTGTTCAAATAGGTGTCCTCATACTAGTGAATTCTTAATCCTGCCTACGTTCATCCCGGATTTGAAGACCTTCGAAGTTTACCTAGGATACCCAGTAACCTAAGAATAACAAGGCCTCTCTTTTTGGTATTGGGTAACTGTATAAGGAACCTAGGACTACAAAAAGGGAATAAGGGTACTACTGGGCATCCTAGATACTCTCGAGTTCCAGAATGTCGACCCCCGCAACACGTGCGAAGGCCATTAAAAAAATCCCTAAACCCATAACCTATGTATATATATATATATATATATATATATAATAAGGCAAGGGGTCGTGAACCAGAACTCCCGGAGCCCCGAAAATCACAAAACCCAAAGCCCCTGAACCCCTACAATCCGAAACCCAAAATAACACCCGTTTGGGGTTGTTTGATTTAACCTCTAGATTAAGGGAGCCCTGAAACCCTAAGCCCCTACACCGCCTACCCCCAAAACTATACTGAACTTAGAACCCTGGCAAGAATCATAATTTGAGCTGTTTCTTAGGGATTATAATAACCAAAAATTAAAAACTATTTCTAAGACCCTAAGGTTGAGCCTGAACAGCTTGGGGTTGCTTTAATCTCTCGATGCAGGCAGGGTGCAGAACTGGAAAAAGTAGGATCCGACCAGCAGAGGCGTGAGCAGCAGAACCTCTGCGCTTTCAAGGTTTGCGAGTCAGGGTTTCGGGTTTAGGGTTTGCGGGTTACGGGTTTAGGGTATAGGGTTTTGGGGTTTAAGGTTCACGGGTTTAGGGTCATGAGGTGATGTAGAAGGTGCATGTTCAAGGGCGGTTACACGCCTCAGCCTTGTTATTATTCGGCGGGTTTCTACGATTTGGCGGCGTATTCTTTAAGATGAGAAGGGAAATTGCGGCATGCATCATATTTTTGATGCGCTAGAGCCGAGTAGCACTACCCATAAACCTACACGCAGGTTGACGAATGTCGGTTTCAGGTTGTATCTAAGCTCCCAGACACCCTTTGCATATGAAGGCGCCGAGCGTGCTTGTACCATTCAATCTTAGAAGCAAAAAGCGCATAATTTGCTGATGGCAAGGCTCCCTGGTATGGTCTTCCAAAGGCTACTTGGAGGATGATGGGATTTAGTACCTAGGGTTTAGGCACTGCCCCCTTAGGTAAGAATCTATAAACGGGCTACTATTAAGGTCCTAATATATCTTTATTATGAATATTCGTCAACTACTACTGAGTGGGGGAAGTACCCAACCTAGGGTTGTAAATACGGAGTTGCTCTCAATGTGCTTCAGCTTGCGTGAGGTTTCATGGCCTCCACGAACGAAAGCAAAACAACGAGTCCCTTGTTGCTACACAGAGACTCCGTACAAAGTCGCTCAAGTCGTAGAATAACTAGACAATAAATCATGTTGAGGATCTCTCAATGGTTCGAGGTATGTAGCTTACCTATTATATACAATGATGGCTTTGAGGTCTCTGGGTAGCAACATGATCCTGAACAAGACCCGCGCACACAAAATCCAGAAAAAGGGCAAGTAATGTAGGGGCCTTAATAATTAAAATATTTAGGGTTTGGGGGGCCATTCTAGTATAATTATAATAATAAGGCAACCCCTACAACAGCATAAAATTAAGGCCCCTATAGTAGCAAACTTCAGGCTTGAACCTTGCATGCAAGCGGCTATGTAGAAGCTGCGATACTGGTAGAGGAAGAGGTCTGCAAGTAACCTGCGGACTAAGCGCACAGGCTATAGTCTGAGGGTGCAGCGTTTTCAGTGTAGGGCTTATGGCCAGAGGTTTGAGTGGTTAAGGTTTAGGGCGAAGAGCGTTGGGGCTGGAAGGTCTAGGATGCAGGTTTGAAAGCAGTCCTTATCCGGAGGCCATCTGGACCCTCGAAATCCACGAGATTCAGTAGTAGCAGTAGCAGCATCTGCTCTGGTGGTAGTGGTGGTGGTTCCGCTGCAACCGGAGGAGGCGGAGGAGGACGAAGACGACCAGCGGCACTCATCGCAACGGCAAGTAACATCAAATGCTGGAAACAATATTGGGGCCTCAATGGTTATACTGTTTTGAGAGGGGGTGGGGTCCTACGCTACAACATTAAACTTTGGAAAGAACAGAACAGCATTACGAATTCTTCAATCTTCTGTACTAAAGTAGCATTCTGCTATCAGCTTCGGCATGGACATTCATCTTGAACCGCCGTGATGACTGTTTCCAAGAGACACAACCAAAAAACGATCCCGGGATCTTGTTCAGTAACGTAAGCTAAATACCGTATAGGACGTGGTACATGTATGAGAGGTAGGTAGGTAGGTCGGCAGGTAGGTAGGTCGGTAGTAGGTAGGTAGGTAGGTAGGTGACAGGCAGGTAGATAGGTAAGTAGATGAATACATAATGGATAAACAAGGAGGTAGCTGCGACATTTTGTTTTATCATGGACAGAACGCTCCTCAGCAAGAACCTGGGAAATCGCAATCACGCGGTCCTCCTCAAGCTGCTGGTTTGCGCACACTGCTCCTTTCAGGGTTTAGGGGTTCAATCCCGCGACCCTAAACGCTTCGACCCCAACCCCAAAACCCCGCAAAGGGAACCGTTTCAAGAACCCGGCCCTATATGCCCTAAACCCACACCCTTCCAGGAAGCTGGGCGTTTAGGGCTTGGTTCATTGAGCTTGTTGAGCTTCCATGGAGAGCTTAACCTGTGTCCAGGCGAAATTCCATTAAGAAACACAGTGTTTCGAAGTTTAGGGCAAGAGATGCAACATCAGCGTATGAAGCCCAACCTTGTGGCGAATTGCAAAGACAGTCTACGGATGCCTTCCTTTGGGTGTAACAGTCTTCATAGTTCAGTGTTTGGCTTTTCGGGCGTCGGGTTTGCAAAGGTACGGGGCGGTGCTACCTGAAATGTCAGGGACTCTCCGTCTCTGTCCGTAGTCTCATCCCACGGGCGTCTCGCACAAAGGCACGCACGCACATGCACATGCACGCAGACACAAACATTATGTTGCTTTTCCCTTTGTCTTTGTCTGTATCTTTCTCCTTGTCTTTCTCTCTCTCGGTCTCTCTTTCCCTCTCTCTCTCTCTCTCTCTCTCTCGCTCTCTCTCCCCGTCTGCATACGTGTGTAAACCAGCAAGAAGCCAATTGAAACGTCTGCCCGCACCTCGTACATATGGAGGGTTGCAGCATCATCCATATCTTCACAACCATCGAGGCCGTCCGAACTGACGGAGTGACAGGACTAGACTGAGACCCCGGTTCTTGTTAGGAACATTCCGGTTGAGGGTTTGATCTAGGGGCAGTAGGGTTCCTTAACAAGGATTCCTTTAAAGGGTTGAAAGTGCATGTTTTAGAGAGGCACTTTAAGTAACGACTAGAATAGGGTTAAGTTTGGGGCATGTTTATCGTAACTGCGAAGAGAAACTCGCTGGAATAGACAACTGTAGCCTTCACACTGTAAACCATAGGTCTAGGCAGGGTTATGAGCACTCTAACTGGGATCATCAGCACGTAACTATACTAGTTATCCAGTTTATATATAAGCCTAGTTACTAAGTCCCATGCTCCTCTTAGCGCACCTGAAACTGAAACCCCAAAGGTAAGGAATTTCATTGCAAGGCCGTAGCTGGATGGGGTCCTTTTGCAGCTAAAGATTCAGAGTTGGGTGGTGGGCCATACGGTATACTGCAGTAGAAATAGTATTTTTTTCACCTACCAGGCTTCTGCACTATGTATGCTGTGCGCCCACCTTAACTTGTAGAATGGGTTGCGACTTGTACTATATTACTGTACAGTGCATGGTAAGGAACCCCAAGGAATGGACAAATGCAGGGACATCAACTATATTCAGCTCCCAAGGAAAGAGGTTCCGAATAACCACATTAACCACGACTACCAAGGTCCTGTAGAAGGTGCTGTCTCCCTGGTTCTTCGTAGGGAATGGGGAATGGATCCCTATGATAGTCAGTGCCTTCCGGTCTTGCTCGTAGTCCCTATAACCCATCCCCCTACTCCCTTCCAAGAACCAGGGTCGCCATGGTTCGAGCCCTTCTTCGGGCAGGATATTGAACATCGCATAGGTCCCGGTGGATCAACAGTGCAGCACTTCAGTAGTTGAATTAATCAACCACTCTGGTCTCTATTGCAGCTCCTCTTCTGGTGTTAGTAAGTATTAGTATTTACCTAAATAAAGGTCTCTGTTCTGGCTCCCTTTCTTGGTGAATCAACTTTCCATTCTAGGACGCTAGCCAGAAAGTGGATAGCAAGCCCACAAGGATCCCAAAAGTAGATCCCATAATCGGGATCCCTATAAAGTACCCTTAGTAGCATAGGGCCCCAAGTTAGGGATCTACTTTCTAGATCCTCCGGGGGGTCTGGGCAGGAACTGCAACGAAGCGTTGAGCCTTGCCCTGAATAAACCGAAAAGGGCCTCAACGACAAGGCTAAGCTGTAAAGCTCTAAGGACCCACATATTAAGGCTTTTGGGCCCAAAGACCATACTATGTAAGGCTTTTGGGCTGTTGTGAGCCTTAGGGAACATGTAAAACATGTTTCTGAGTTTGATGCCTAAAGCCTTAGATAACGAAGACACGAACCCTAAACCCCTACTTGTAGCGCCGCAACACCTTGGCAAAGCCTCCCGGCCCTAAACCCTAAATCCCTAAACCGGCCTGCCATCGACGACGAAGGGCTCGCAGATACTTGGCAAAACCAGGGCTTCTTCGGAAGATCAGGGGCATACTTAGAGGACCTTGGGACTTAGTAAGTAAGGTTCTAAAGTACCCTAAGTGGGGTTATACGTTATTCGCTGTACGATATTATAACTATAGCTACCTTACTTAGGTTATAAGTACCCTACTTGGGGTTGAAAGTAATGAAAAGTATAGTTACCTTACTTATAACCCTAGCTACTAAGTTCCATGATCCTGCAAGTACCCAGTAGCACTCTTGGAGGATCATAGGAGCTAGAAACCAGGGTTATAAATCAGCTAACTAAACTTATACTTACTCATGACTCCGACTAGGCTACTTATGACCTTGCTTACTAAGTCCCATGATCCTTCAAGTATGCTTGGTATCACAAGTGCCCTCAAAGATGCTGCCCTGACCACGGCCCTAATTAGTTGTAAGCTGCTACCAAGCCCCCTCACAACTTTGAGTCGTAAGGTGGTCGTTCAGCTAACGCCGCTACGGGCCTAGGGAACTCGTTCTAGAGTTTTAACTACGTGTTGAGTCCCATCTGCCTCTGAGCCTGCAGCATTCAAGTTTCGGAGTGTGGAGGTGCACCAAAGTGCGCTTGGGTTCGGGGGTGAGGGGTCCAAGGATGTAGAGGTCAGGTTTAGCTTTCGGGGGCGTGGGGTCTCCGGTTCCAGGCGTTGGGTTGGAGAATTTGGGTTGTGTCTTCCTCGAGTTCCCGTCATAGGGGCCGTTGGCCGCGGCTCGGTTTAGGGTTTAGTTTAGGGCTTAGGGTTTAGGCTTTAGTTTAGGGCTTAGGGTTTAGGACTGCTGATGTGGTGGAATCCTGGCCCAAACCCTAAACCTCATCCTCAAGTCACAGTCTCAAACCTCCATAAGCTCGCCCTGCCCCTGCACTCTGAATGCCTAAGTCCTGACCCAGGTCGTTTTGGCACTTGTACTTTGGATGCAGGTTTCAGGCCCATCGGGCTTGATAGTCTAACTCCGTCTATGAAGCTTCGAACAACCCGACGATGCACCATGTAGGAGATGAAGAAGTTCATGGGTCAATGGGTTAAGGTTTCAGGGCCTAAGACAGATCGCTGACTAAGTAGTAGTGGTATCCCCTTATAACCCCTGATGATTGCACTATGACATACCCCAACATCCGATTCCAATCGCTATTTCAAGCCCGTCTTGGTTTGCTTTCTTTTACCACAAGTTGTCTTACAACCCTAAAACCCTAAACCCTAAACCCTAAAACCCTAAACCCTAAACCCTAAAACCCTAAAACCCTAAACCCTAAACCGTGTGCAGGGCCTCTGGACCCCACATTTCTACCAAGGGGCTGCAGGAGCTTCTTCACCTGGTCGTGCATTAGCCCGTTGGCCTCAGTGCCACGGCAACTAATAGGGCTTAGGGCTTAGGGTTTAGGGTTTAGGGAATACTACCAACAAGAGCTATAATAAGTGAGACTAGTAATACTAGTAACAACTGTAGTAATGATAATCATAATCATAACTGTCCTATAGGGGCCTTCAAGCATTCGAATAGGGTTCTGGGTATCCCACCATTGTGTTGAAACTCTAACCCCAACCACAAATAAAAGCATACCGCCAATATGTTGGGTTCACTAAAGCCTTTCGGTATCTGTTACAGGGTCTGATCTCGTGTTTACGGGCTGCGGCTTCGAAATATCCCTCAAACTACACAGTAACGCGCATCCAATGAGCCCAAGACTACCTTAGTTCAGGAACATTTAGTGAATAATAATCGCAAGTCGAGTGTTCACTACACCCTACACACCCGACAAAAACAATCGAGGTGGCCTGAGATGCCTGCTGCAATATCGAACCAGGTATTCTAATCCTTTAGATTGATCATACTGCTATACTGTCTACTATTATGTTGTTGCATTAGTATAGCACGGCTCGCTTTGATTAGTCTCATCCTCCGTCTTCTGCTGGGACAGGGCGACGATCGAATTTGGGATCTCTTGTGGAGTGACCACGAACCAGCTGCCACCAAGATGCCATGACCTCGCAGGGAGGAGGTTCGGCTAGAGTCGCAAGAACCCCCGGCAGTCGCGGATCCAAGTTCTGCCCTACGCCCCAACAGGGCCTCACTGCTGAACCCCAATATAGCACAGACTTAAGCCTTAAAGTGCCTACCTATATAGGAACCCTCTGAAGAATCAAGTATCTACTTTGAAGGTACCCAAAACTCTAAAACCTCAGTGCTGGATTTGGGCCGTATCTCAGCTGGATTCTAGCAAGCAGCAGGTGCCTTGAGGTTGTTCCGACGAAGTTTCCTTCTCGAGTCTTTAACCCGGCGTACACTGATTTGAAAGGCACTCCTTTCTGAAGGATCAAGGGAGCTACATAACTAGTAAGTGTTTTGTCGTAAAAGCTTGCTTTCAACCTACGTACCACGTCCTGAAATCTTTCCAATGCAGCGCAAACCGCAAACCAGGATGAAGCTCATGCGGAAAGACCAAGCATGCAGATGTCCCGAACCTCATGATTTTCGTATCTTATCAGAGACCGGAACAGTCAGGAGCACATGGCATCCTCCAGAGATAAACAGTGCAATGGAAGGAGACTGACAACAGTGATGTATGTATGTTTGTTTGTTTGTATGCAGGCATTCATGCATGCCTGTACTATACCTATACATCGTCGTTTGTGTATTAGCTTTTGCATGTATGTGCTTGTTTATGCTTGCTATGTTCATATATCTGCCCTCGCCCTCGTGAAGCTTCGCATACTCATGCTATGAGCGCAGGCAGAAGCAACATAGGTAAACATAAGCAACCGTAATGACACTGAAATTGCTAGCCGTTGCAAAAGAATCCTGCAATGTTGTCTTTTTGCACCAGTGCAGGTACAACAGCTCCTGCAGCTTCCGTGAGCCCTCGAAGCCAAAGCCCTAAAAATTTATCTTTGGTTAGTAGGGAATGGAAGAATGGTAGTAATAGTAGTTCTAATTGTTGCCGTTCCGCCCCAAACCCTAAACCCTAAACCCTAAACCGCTAAAGAAGCCCCTAAAGCCCCGAGTTCTGGTTTCTACATCTCGATCACGAATGCAGGGGCCTTAACAATTGGAACAAGGTTTTGGAGGATTCGGAACAGGGTTTTCGGGGTTCCTTATCATGACCATGGTACGATATACCCTTAAACCCTATTCTAATTAGAGATCCCTATATTGGAACCCCAAGTCTCCGCAGCTGCAAACCCCAAAGCCCTCGAAGCCACCTCTAACCGTGACCCCCCAAAGCCCCACAGCCCCCAAACCATTGTAGTTCCGTTTTGGGATTCGCTTACAGGGTCCTAACTATAGACACTCTTACTCTAGACTCTACTCTACCTATAGGCTCCATTGTAGTTCCGTTTTGGGATTCGCTTACAGGGTCCTAACTATAGACACTCTTACTCTAGACTCTACTCTACCTATAGGCTCCATTGTAGTTCCGTTTTGGGATTCGCTTACAGGGTCCTAACTATAGACACTCTTACTCTAGACTCTACTCTACCTATAGGCTCCATTGTAGTTCCGTTTTGGGATTCGCTTACAGGGTCCTAACTATAGACACTCTTACTCTAGACTCTACTCTACCTATAGGCTCCATTGTAGTTCCGTTTTGGGATTCGCTTACAGGGTCCTAACTATAGACACTCTTACTCTAGACTCTACTCTACCTATAGGCTCCATTGTAGTTCCGTTTTGGGATTCGCTTACAGGGTCCTAACTATAGACACTCTTACTCTAGACTCTACTCTACCTATAGGCTCCATTGTAGTTCCGTTTTGGGATTCGCTTACAGGGTCCTAACTATAGACACTCTTACTCTAGACTCTACTCTACCTATAGGCTCCATTGTAGTTCCGTTTTGGGATTCGCTTACAGGGTCCTAACTATAGACACTCTTACTCTAGACTCTACTCTACCTATAGGCTCCATTGTAGTTCCGTTTTGGGATTCGCTTACAGGGTCCTAACTATAGACACTCTTACTCTAGACTCTACTCTACCTATAGGCTCCATTGTAGTTCCGTTTTGGGATTCGCTTACAGGGTCCTAACTATAGACACTCTTACTCTAGACTCTACTCTACCTATAGGCTCCATTGTAGTTCCGTTTTGGGATTCGCTTACAGGGTCCTAACTATAGACACTCTTACTCTAGACTCTACTCTACCTATAGGCTCCATTGTAGTTCCGTTTTGGGATTCGCTTACAGGGTCCTAACTATAGACACTCTTACTCTAGACTCTACTCTACCTATAGGCTCCATTGTAGTTCCGTTTTGGGATTCGCTTACAGGGTCCTAACTATAGACACTCTTACTCTAGACTCTACTCTACCTATAGGCTCCATTGTAGTTCCGTTTTGGGATTCGCTTACAGGGCCTAACTATAGACACTCTTACTCTAGACTCTACTCTACCTATAGGCTCCATTGTAGTTCCGTTTTGGGATTCGCTTACAGGGCCCTAACTATAGACCGCAAAAAGGAACTACTACTATGGCGCCTCCAGGTAGAAATGCACTGCAAGCCCGCCTTATAGCCTCAAACACTCAACACCAAAAACCTGTCTCAAGGTAAAAAAATAGGGGGCCTTACGAATTAGAATGGGGCTTTGGAGCCCAATATACTGTAAATACATTAAGGAACCCTCAAAACAGCATAGGTAATTATTAAAGCCCCTATACTAAAGCCCTGCGCCCATCCCACATCTCCCCCGAGGGGCTTCGTCCAATGAGAGGAGGAAGACCAGAGCCACTGAGTTGACGATGATCTGGGACGCAAGAGCCGTGCTAGCAGTTCTGATTAGAATAGGGTTGCTTTACAGGGTTCTTGAACAGGGGTCTACAAGCGTTACTATAAGGGCTACTTTAAGGGCTTAGTTTAGATCCGTAGTAATTACAATAGGGCTTTGGGTGTACTGTACTATAAATTGTATTAGGGACCATGAGGGAACACTCCTTATGTGATGCGTTCGACTAGCTCCTCGTCAGTTAACATCGGACTCACAACGTCTTAGGTCCAGTTACGACTTAAAAGCTTGTTTATCCCTATTTGCTGAACCCACTCTAGACTCCAAAACCCTCACCCCTGAACCCTAAACCCACCAGCACGCCAAAATCCGTGAAGGAGGTTTGGAGGCTCGACAAGACGTAGATGACGGGCGCATTTTAGCTAGATTTGAGTCATTTGAGGTTAGGGTCTTCGCATGTGGGTTCTCAGTAGAGTTACTAAGTGCACTAATTTACACTTCCTGAAAACACGACCCTACTTATAACCGACTTGCCAAGAAGTAGGACTCTGGTCTAGAGGCTAATGGATTGCTGTGGCGACCCCTTCTCAGGCAGGCGCCGTGTCTATGTCCGAGGTCTCCATGAGAAAGACGACGCCCGCCTGGAGCCCGAATCACATAGCGTCCACGAATTAGGTTTAAGGGTTTAGGGTCTAGGGCAAACACTACCCCAAGCCCCCCGAAACATAGATTCCTACTGTCATACACCCCGGCACCTAAGCACGGGGCCCACAAGAGCACCAGAACACAAACATGTCAAGGTTTCTTCATCCCAAAAAGAGGGCAGGCTTCATAGTGGAAGCTTCGGCACTGTCTTGGCGATTATGTTGGGCAAACAGTTCTTAGGTACTTGGACCCTCATATGGGTTGTTGTCAAAATTAGGCTCCCTTTTTGGGTACCTTGAATAATGGGGACCCCAAGCAGGGACCATAATTTTGACAACCACCCATATGGTACAAAAGTCTCCTTTACGACATTTGCAAAACCTCAATGCGCCGAAGGCCCTGAAACCTTAAAGCCTGTTTTTCCTTGTAGAATCTCCTGGATCGGTCGCGGGGTTCAGGGCTTAGGATTCATACTATACCCCCCTTAGAACCATAATAAACATACCATTTTTAATATTCTCTTGGGTTTTTGGATGAACAACAAATTAAAAAATCCTAAGGAGACCAGGATTTCGGCCTTCGAGGGCTTCCTTCGAGGGCTTATGGGCTTTTGAGCCGACTTTGCACTTCAACTTTGATCCCTCTCGTACAAGGCTCAAGGTTTCTGAAAGGACTGGGGGTCTTTGAGTCTAGCTTCTAAGTACCATCACCAAGATAAGCGCACTTAAGCTACTTACAACCCACATCAATCTACCCTTGGGGTCCAGGTACCTACTTAGGAGGGTCCGATATTTCCCTTAGGGAGAACCCCTGGCTACGTATAACCTCACTTACAAACCCACTAAGTCCCATGTTCCTCCAAGTATCTACTACCTGCAAGACATCGCACAGACTGAGCGACATGCATGAAGAACCCTGCTTCACTCACCATCAGCGAACAAGACTTGGGGTTTGGGCTGCCGTGGTCAATAAAGCATTCACGCATATGTACTGGGTCTTGTTGTCTTGCTTCAAGTCCTTCTTTGGACCAATATCATGTTGAAGGTCTTGGTCTTTCTGCTCCACCGCGTTCACGGTTTACACTTATTGTCAAGCCTTTGACTTTACACCCGAAGCACAATGCAACCCAGGTACCTTTGCTGAGTAGACGCAAAGGAAACACTTCGGTAGCAGCACTATCACAACGCAAGCCGCTTTCCACAGCCTGCGTTGAAGCTGGGCTTGGGTTTCAGCTCACCATTGTGTCCATCATCGTTAAAACAGTTCTGTAAGGGTATGGTTGGGTATGGTTCCTTTGAGCCCTACATAAACGAATCTGCCAGTACCTAAAACCCAGTAACCGGGCTCTTGGCATTCCGAGGCCGGGGTCTGTTTCCAGGTTTACATCGACTCCGCGAGACAATCATGGTTGGAAGCAGCTGGTCTTCAAGTTCCTGATATGCGGAAGAACAAGGATTTTCTGACACAGAAACATGACCGATCACAGCTGAAAAAAAAACACGGAACGGCGACCACCACCATCCTTGCAAACGTCGCCAGCATCGTCGTGTTGACCAGCCGACCATCCTCATCATCATCATCACCACCACCGCCGCGCCTTCACCACCGTAATAACAAACATTGACGGCCATCAACAGCATCATGATCGTCATCTTTGTCGTCATGGCTACCATCATGAACATCGGCATGTTTACCATGTTGATCATCGTCATGACCCTCATTGTGTTCATCATCATGACCAACATGAACTCCGTTGCGATTGCCATCGGGAGTCGTCATGATGGCCGACGTCGTCACGATGATGGACTTCCACGCTAATGCCATCACTCCACCATCATCAACAGCAACAGCATCACCGACATGATTTTCAGCATCACCAGCAACCTCATCGTCATCAGAGTCCTCATGGTCAGCATCGTTTAATCCGATCTCGACCTCACCAAGGTGCTGGGCATCATCAACAACGACAACAACAACGCTGCTGTGAACATCGACATAAGCGATACCAGCAGTATAATAGTAACACCAAGGACAAACGGCAGTGCTGAGAAAATGCACATATGAACAGCCAGCCGTGCATAGCCCATAAACCAGGGCTAAACCGACTACCAGTATCAGTGACCAGTCAAGTCATGGGAACACATGGGAGTTTCCGAAAATAAGGGGACCCTAATAAAGTACCCTAAATCGTAGAATCCTTATTATAAGGACCCCAAAAGAAGGTACCCCTAATCTTCGGAAACTCCCACATGTCCTGACCCCCAAGGGATTCTCAACTTGGCACAGCCAGCACCACGCCCAGAATCCGTTGCCTGTTCATGCCGGCGATATGCACCTCGGGTCCCGGGTTCTGGCTGGGGTTTAGATGTCGGGCTTCGGGTTCAGGGATTTGGGTATCTTTAAAAGGGAGCCATAAGGGTTCCTTAAAAGGGAGCTATAAGGGTTCTATAAAGGGTTTAGGGTCTGGGAGATTCCGAAGGTTAGGGGTACCTTACTTTCGGGTCCTTATTACAAGCCTCCTCCTATTTAGGGTACTATATATCAGGGTCCCCTATTTTCGGAAACTCCCATTTAGGGTTGAGTGGCTTAGGGTGCCCATGGAAGAAATAACAAGCCCGAAGAAGCCGCTAAATCTCCCATCTTCAACGATGATGTGTGAACTTATCTTACAAGTGGGTGGTTCTCAAAATTATGGTCCCTTTTTAGGTACCCTAAATAGTACTGTAGGTGCCATATTATAATAAGGACCCAAAAAGGGACCATAATTTTGACAACCACCCAAGTGTTCTGGTGAGTGAGGTTTTATCGGGCATCAGAGAGTTTTGTAAGGGCTTTAGACGGTTGTTAGATGTTTCATGAGGGCTTTACAGGGATGTGTTGGATATTGAGCTAGGAGCCGAAGCATTTAGACTAAGGTAGTTGGGCGTCTATACTTCGTATAGGAAATGGCTAAGTGACACTAAGCACACACTACTAATTGCTCAGACCCCTTTGTTAAACTTATCCGATGAGTGTTCGAACTACGGGGTGAAGAAGGATCTGGGTTTTGGGAATAGCGTTTAGTCTTCAGGGTCCGACCTGTGCATGTACATACATGCACACATACATACATGCATGCATGCACAATCAATATGATGTGTGTTCTTTTGACCCGTTGAAATCCTTTCAACCAGTCCGGAACCACGCCAAGGGACGCTGATCATGTCAAGCCATTCGTGCCGAGGCCCTGTCCAGAGTAAATCATGGGACGTTATAAGTAGGGTTAAGCAATGTAACTATACTTATGATGACATATAACTCCAGTAAGGGAATTTAAAACCTTACTGACTAAGTCCCAAGATCCTCCAAGTGGGGTTTGGAAACTCATGGCTTGAGGATTGAGGTCTTCAAGGCATTTGGGATTTTGACTTTCACAGAGCTAGGCGGTTCGGTGTAGGGATGGTTTGGGGCTCGTTGGCAAGCTGCGCTTCAATCTTGCAACACTGTATAGTAGATACCATCGTACCCCCTAAGCCAAAAACCGAAACCTTAAACCCACAGTCCACATAAGGCTCCCACGATCCTTAAAGGCTTGGGGAACCTCTGAAGCCGGTTTAAACCCAAATACAGGGGCCTGAGTGCTGCATGATCTTATAGTAGAAGCCAGAAAGTTGGAACATTATGATCCTCATGCCCCTAAGGTAAAGTAGAGGGAATCCTAGCACCAATCATCCTAAATCCATGTTCCAACTTTCTGGGGTTCACTATATTCCTTGAAGTTCCCTGGCGAAGCGGTTCTAGGGAAAGACGTCCCAAAACGTAGCTAATCCTTGAGGGTTCCTTAGTTGCTGAGTTCATAAGCCCCAAAAAATGGACACTTTCAGTTTTATAGTGGGTAATATGATCCCGAAAATTGTAAAATGTATCCACTCAGCTACTAGGGTTCTGTTACATTCCTACTAGGTCCGAGGGGGCCTTCAGCTAGACAACTGGGACCCGGCAAAGAGGCAATAAGCTCCGAATCGCTTCAGCGGTTTAGGGTTGGAGGTTTTAGATAGCTTTGCACCGTGTACGGTTTCATGAGGCCTTTAGATGAATACAGGGTCATTGATAATCAGCTCGATTAGGATCTTAAGTTGCCTACGGGTGGTTCAACATTCCCAGCATGGTGATAGGAGGAATTCGACTCCTGTGGGTGTGGGGCTTCAGCACTAGTAGCCACAAAGGCACGTTTCAAGAGGGCAGCGCAGGGTTGTGACTTTAGCAGCATAGAGGGCTTGCTGAAGTCTTGCCGGATTTTGCTTGAGATGGGATACGAACGCGTTCCGGGACCCTACAAAGTATCTTATTTGCTACCTTGTTTTCTTGTACCCCAAGGCTCCATAGTAGTTCCTTTTTGGGGTTCATATATAAAAACCTATAACATAATCCCAGAAAAGGAACTACTATGGAGCCTTAGGGTAACCGGATCCTGACAAGACTATACGAGGTAGTAGACTCAAGGTACTTGGAGGATCATGGGACTGAGTAGTTGGGGTTATAAGTAAGGTAACTACCGTTATAATTACTTATAACCCCAATTAGAGTACTTATAACCTTACTTACTAAGTCCCATGATCCCCCTAGAAGGTAAGGTTTTCTAGGGGGTTCGCAGGCAGTGATCGGCTGCTCCCCTCCAAACCCAGACCCCCGGGAGGATCTAGAAAGTAGATCCCCCATTTTGGGGGGCCCTATACTACTAAGGGTAACCCTAAGCCATAAACCCTGAAATGACCCTAAACCCTAAAGCCAGAAATAACCCTAAACCCTAAAGCCAGAAATAACCCCAAACCCTAAACTTTTACTAAAAGATCTACATTTTGGATCCTCCAAAGGGGGGGTCTGGGCAAACGAGCCTCTCATCGGACGTCCTTCTCTGAACGTCACCCAGGGCTCCTCGAATATGGCATCGGGTCTTAGTAATTTAATTGGGGGTATAAATATGGTAACCATAGTTGTAACTATTTATAACCCCAATTAGGGTACTTATAACCTTACTTACTGTCCCCTGATCGTCTAAGTGTGGCCGTATTTTTCTGATAGAATCCCAACGGTTGATGATATACATCCTGCATTACCCATGATATGTTAAAGAAGACACCATACTTCTCATACAAGTAGTGAAAGGTCATGAAGGTGAGCAGGATTTATACCATCAACCGTATAACCCCGGACTCCATGCCGAGCTTGCCCGACTTGGCTAGATTCCCTAATAACCTCGACTTCGGCTCGAACTCTGCGCCCAAAGGTGGTCCGCAGAGCCCATCAAGTCTGAGTTGAAGAAGAGCGAATGTGCAACTATTGGCACATACGCGGAAAGCCACACTCCACATCACCAAGGTGGTGAACTGCACGGTCAACAAAGCTGCTATGGCACCAGGGCCTCAGATGAAGTCGAGGCATCAACTCAGTTCGCCGGAGGCCGCCATCAGCCAAAGCCAGCAGCAGCCCAAGCGCCACGGGGTTGCCGAAGTCGCCGAAGCCGTAAAGCCAAAAAGTTTTCCAAGTCGCGACTTGTCGTTTGCACGTCGCCGACAGCCGTAGAGCAGTACCCAAGACTGCTGTGAAGCAGCACCCAGCCTCCCCACAGTAGCCGAAGCCAAGAAGCTGGAGCAGCTCGCAGAAGACGAAGACCAGGAGGGAGTCGTAGAAGGTGTGTCCAGAAGCCGAAGCATCAAACACCTGGAACCCGATGGAGCACCACGATGACCCGCGACAAGAAGCCGAAGCAGCCCAGCATCACCCGCCATCATCTCCATCAGCAGCAGCAGGAGGAGGCGGAGCCTCGCGAGGCCGGAGACCATGTCGCCGAAGGGCATCATGAAGGTGTTTGCCGGCAGTAGCCGAAGCCTGGATTGCATTGAGTTCCCAGGCAGCTGCCTCTTCACGAAGTCGCCACCAAGCAGCACGACCATGACCTCGGCTGCGACGAACTCGACATTCAGCGGCGGCACGGTCAGCTTGATCGTTCATCCACCTCATGAGGTCCGTGCTCAGCCCAGGAGGGGCTTCCCAGCTCGGTCGTCGTGCGAGGGGACCCAGGCATGGGTCAATTGCACGCCGAGGGCCTCAAGAGACCCGAGAGCCGTGGTCCAGCGGGCCTCCTCCGGAGAAGCGGGCACATTGCCTGCCTTTCCTGTCCCTTTGGCCCCTTTGCCTTTGCCTGTTGAGGGCCCACCTGCCGGGCCAAAGGAGGCGCGAGCCTGGACACCTCCACCTTTGCCTTTGAGTGGGCTAGGAGCTGCACTACCAGTCGCAGGACCTTGGGAGCCACCGGCTCTAGCGAGTTTGGCCGCCGCCTTCTTAATACTTAGCCTTTCGCCGTCTGGCGGTGAGGCAACCGCCCCAGTGAGGAGAGAACTCAAACCAAGCCCCGCCAGTGCCTGCTAGAGAGCCTTTTGCACAGCCTGTTGGATGAAAGTTTGGAGTCCTGCCGTAGGCTTGGGACCAGGATGGCTGGCCTCCCCGATCCGCATGCCACAAGAAATTGTGGTTGACACACAAGGCACTTAGGAAGGACCAGCGTTGCACAACATGCGACTTGCCATGCGACAGCCAGGACGACGCACGCACAGTCTCACTGGCACCTGGACCTCCAACTCCGCATTGCACCACATAGGCCAGCGAGGGGTCACCGAACATGTAGAGGTAACAAGTCTCACAGCAAGATCCTAAACCCCAAAAAGGAGAGGAACTAAACCCAAGGGAGGGATCGGGTGAAGGCTGGCAAATCAAGGTAGGTGCAAAGCCGTGACAGTCAGAACTGAAACGGGCCACCGCGTCCTGCAAATGTTCTCCAACAAGGCCTAGGCAGTCCGTCGCAAAGCACTTGGGGAACCCACACGGGGAGGAGGGCCTAAACCCAAAGGAAGAGGGCCTAAACCCAAAGCAGGAACCAAGATGAAAGGGCATGCGCGGGCCGGCCTGAAAAACAAGATTGGCGCTCCTACAAGCTCTGGCATCCGGTGAAGATTTTCTCGGGTCTTTCGACCATCTAGACCCGCAGTGGCACCAGGCAGCCCGAGTGTGCAGCCCGATGTGGTGGTGATTGAGGTGCGCCTCAAGGTCATCGCTCCATGCAGCAACCGACCGACTAATGCACCGTCTCTTTCGGGGTAAGGTAGGCCCCCTTCTTGGGGAGGCCCCGCTTGGGATTGGCACCATTAAGGGAGGACCTAAGCCCTACAAAAGAAATCGGGGAATGCAAGCAGCCAGCGTCGCGACAGTGGCGCCCGAAGGGCTTAGCATTTGCACCTGGTTTGTCATCGTCGCCTTCGGCTGGCCTCAAAGTCATCGTCGCCACGCCGCTGTTACCTTCGACCTTGCCACCGACGACCCCGTGCACCGGTGCGGCGTGCTTGTCGTTCCTGCAGAAAGTCTCGATGATCTGGCCGCCTGCCGCCTGATGTCCAAAGCCATGACGAGCACAGGGCGAGGCGGAAGGGCAGCCAGGGGCAGCCTGTGGGAGGCTCGGTGGTAGGGTCTCGGGAGTGGCCTGCATGGCTCTTGATATCGGGAGTTTTAGCCCTTCAGCGGGTCTTGTTTCGACCTTGGTGCTTGGGGGCACCTGGCGGCCGCTGAGCTCATCACTTCTCTTTGCCCTCTGCAGGTCTTCTTGCTTCACGGAACAAACCTGAAAACATGCAGCACTACAGGAGCAAGTCTTAGGCTGGTCGCCCGGGTCGCTGTCGAAGGGAGCAGAGGCTGACCTAGGTCGACGGCGGTGTTCTGGAGGATCGGCTTCTCCAAAAGCACCAGGTAGTCCTGCTCGTAAAGCTGAAAGGCCTCCTGCGCTGCAGGGTTCTGGCTTATGCTAGCGAAGGTGTCCTGGGGAATCGACTTCTCCGAGAACACCCGGGGGTACTTCTGCGGGAGCATAAAGGCCGCCCCACCAGCAGCATCGCCGCCATCGATGTGCAGCTCTGCCTCAGGTGGCTGTCCCTGCCACGCCTCCACGGGTGCCAACCCAAAGTCGCACCCCGGAAGCCAGCACATGGACAAGGGCATGCGAAGCAGAACCTCACGCCTCAGCATGCCGATGTCAAATTTCACACCTCCGTTCTCATCCTGGTCTGATCGGGCTCTCTGCACAGACAAAATTGCAGAGAGCCCAGGTGCGCTGAAGATCCAAGCCAGATCCTCCGAATTTCGCTCCGCCAGTCCTCCTTCGCCGGATCCCATTCAGCGGCGAGGGGCTTCTGTGTCCTGCCTCTCCCGGCCAGAACACGTCGTCGGAGCACGACAGTGAAGCTTGTAGGAGCCACACCGTCTGCCTCATGTAGGGCTGCATCCATCGCAGCACGTCTTCGTCCGAAATCACGGTCATAGCGGCAAAAGCTGCCGCTTGAAGTTTTGGCTGTGCCTCGACAGGCCCCGGTCTCGAAGAAGCCAGCTGCCAAGCTCGCAGAAAAGGAGGCCGTCGTCAAGGTCAAGGTCGTCAAGAAAAGACCTGCGACTTCCACGACCTCCAGTGGCCAAGCTCCCAAGAGCCAAACCGCCACCTTGGAGACTCTTGCAGCCAAGAGGCCAGCCGCCACCTGGGAGACTTCTGCAGAGGCGACAGTCAAGAGGCCAGCCGCCACCTTGGAGACTTCGGCAGAGACGACAGTCAAGTGGCCAGCCGCCACCTTGGAGACTCCGGCAGAGACGACAGCCAAGAGGCCTGCAGCCGCCACCTGCTTTGCTCTCGAGGCGGGATTCTTTCAGTGCGATATATAGATTTTGTATATATATATATATAGATAGATGTGAACCCCTATACCCTCATAACGAGCTTTTAAACCCTTACGCCGAAACAGATCTGCAGGAAGAGGTCTGGAAGCCGTTTGGCAAGCTTGCCAAGCTGCCGAGACCATGGCCAAGGGGCCAAAGCAGAGCGCGGACAACGTGAGCCTGAGCCAGGAAACGATGGTCTTGGGCATGTATGACCCTCCGATCACTCAGAGTGACTTTGAGCAGGCCATGAAGGAGTGGCCAGAGGAGCCCGACTTTTACCACGACCCCTCACAGGAAGCTGAAGCGGAAGCTCCGCAGGGTCACCTTCTCGTTTGGGATTTTTTGTCCCCGATTCAAAAAATGATCATCAAGCAAAACCCGAGAGTCAGGGACGGCTTGCAGCCATGCGGGCTGCCAGTGTCCAATACCAAGTCCAAGCCCAAGTAGCCCGGAGCTTTTTTTTGAAAGGTAAGCTCCAAGCCTCCAGGGCCAAGTTTTGAGGAAGAGCTCAAGAGAATCTTCACCCAAGATTCCCTGCCGCAGCTGTGGAAAAGAAGTGTTAGGCTGGAATGCCTGAGTCCAATTCCACGTCCAAGTCCAAGTAGCCAGGAGCCGTTTTTGAAAGTTAGGCTCCGAGGCCTTTACAAGGCCAAGTTTCGAAGGAGAGCTCGAAAGAAGCTTCACCCAAGATTCCCTGCCGCTGCTGTGAAAAAGAAGTGTTAGGCTGGAAGCCTTCTGGGAAAGGGTGGGGAAGAGAAAGAGAGAGATAGAGAAAGAGAAAAAAGAAAGAGACAGATATATAGAGATAAAAATACAGGTAGAGATGGAGAGATAGAGAGACAGGGAGATAGAGAGATGGAGAGATAGAGAGATAGAGCGACCGAGCGGTAGAGCGGTAGATCGAGCGATAGAGCGGTAGAGCGATAGAGAGCGATGTAAAGGTAGAGATATACAGGCAGAGATACGGATAAAGGTACAGGTTGAGGTCGAGGTAGAGAGGTATTATATATAGTGGTGGAGGCAGAGATAGCGCTGAAATCTATTGATGTCAGAAGTGTTTCTCGTTTGATTTGATAGAACATTTCTATTGATTTTATGGAAAATTTCTATTGATTTTATGGAAAATTTCTATTGATTTTATGGAAAATTTCTATTGATTTTATGGAAATTTTCTATTGATTTTGATGTGGATGTTTCTATTGATTTTTATGTCGCAGTTCTATTGATTTTGAGGATTTCAATTTCTATTGAAAAACATCGTTTTCTATTGATTTTGATCGACACAATCAAAACGCTGAGAATTTTCAATCGCGCTTGATTTTTTTCAATCGGCGGTCCTCTGGGCAATGATGGGACAATCTGCAGCAGGAGGAGCCATTGCTGAAGCAGCTGGCGCCATTCCTCGAAGGTTTCGACCTTGGTGCTTGGGGGCACCTGGCGGCCGCTGAGCTCATCACTTCTCTTTGCCCTCTGCAGGTCTTCTTGCTTCACGGAACAAACCTGAAAACATGCAGCACTACAGGAGCAAGTCTTAGGCTGGTCGCCCGGGTCGCTGTCGAAGGGAGCAGAGGCTGACCTAGGTCGACGGCGGTGTTCTGGAGGATCGGCTTCTCCAAAAGCACCAGGTAGTCCTGCTCGTAAAGCTGAAAGGCCTCCTGAGCTGCAGGGTTCTGGCTTATGCCAGCGAAGGTGTCCTGGGGAATCGACTTCTCCGAGAACACCCGGGGGTACTTCTGCGGGAGCATAAAGGCCGCCCCACCAGCAGCATCGCCGCCATCGATGTGCAGCTCTGCCTCAGGTGGCTGTCCCTGCCACGCCTCCACGGGTGCCAACCCAAAGTCGCACCCCGGAAGCCAGCACATGGACAAGGGCATGCGAAGCAGAACCTCACGCCTCAGCATGCCGATTTCAAATTTCACACCTCCGTTCTCATCCTGGTCTGATCGGGCTCTCTGCACAGACAAAATTGCTGAGAGCCCAGGTGCGCTGAAGATCCAAGCCAGATCCTCCGAATTTCGCTCCGCCAGTCCTCCTTCGCCGGATCCCATTCAGCGGCGAGGGGCTTTTGTGTCCTGCCTCTCCCGGCCAGAACACGTCGTCGGAGCACGACAGTGAAGCTTGTACCACACCGTCTGCCTCATGTAGGGCTGCATCCATCGCAGCACGTCTTCGTCCGAAATCACGGTCATAGCGGCAAAAGCTGCCGCTTGAAGGGGCCATGGCCCCTCCTGGGTGCAAGGTCGTTCCGCTACCCGGTCCTACACGGGTCCCGCTTTGGGCCGCTTGGAGGCACAACCTTGAGCCAAAGCTTGAGCCAAAATGGCTCCCTAATAACCTCCTAGCACTAAAGGTAACCTTTTGCCTGCTGTTGAGTCTCGATGGGAGAACGCAATAGTATCGCCAGGGTTGAGTCAGCTGAGTGTAGGGTCGTTTCTGTGTGTCTAGATGGTTGCTGGTATGTTTTCTTTTGAACTTTCTGTTGTAGTAAGCTTGATCATTGTGCATGTTTGTGCGGTGTTGAATACTTTTATGTTGTGCTGCACGGTTGTTGGGATTTTTCGGCATGTTGGGATAAACTGGCGCGGTTGTGGGGTGTGTTTGTCGAGGATTGTGTGGCATTATTGTGTTGTTTGGCTGGTATTTGCATGTAACTCCTGGACTGCTGCTGGATGCAAAAACCCTTAAAACGGAGAAACCTGATGACCTTAAACCCTCAGGCCGTGAACTTTAGAACTCTAAACCCCAAACTCAAAAAACACACGAAACCATATATATATATATATATGTGTGTGTGTGTGTAACCCCGAGCGATCCTTTCATAGAAACCTCCTAAATACACTTCAAGGAACATCTTCGGATGGGACGTGCCAGAGGAGATTCGCCATCTCCTGAGCAAGAAGGGCGGAGCCTAAAACTCAAAACCCCCGAACGCTACACCCTAAACCCTGAACCCTACACCTTGAACCGTGAATACCCTGTATTCCTTCTCAAGCCTGGTTTGGGGGTCTTGCGAATTAGACTAGGGTCTGTTGGGGCGGGGGGTAGTCACAGCCTGTCCATATAGGGACTGCAAACCGGGGCTATATCGAATTATTCAGATCCCTACATGGCCGTGAAGACCTGACAAATCTGTTTCACAGGACCCTGTTAAACGCTCTATAACGACTTTGTGCTGTTCAAAACAAGGGCTGTGCAAAGCAGGGCGATAAGCCCCCTTTGGACCAGAAGCCTAAGCTCCTACTTGGAGGATCATGGGACTTAGTAATTGGGGCTATAAATATGATATTTATAGTTATCATTACTTATAACCCCAATTAGGGTACTTAAAACCTGACTTACTAAGTCCCCTGATCCTCCAAGTAGAAGTGCAGTGTCATTCTGGTACCCCAAGGGTCCAAAGGACACGATCATCAGATACCCGGTGTTAGGATAGTAGTTATGTAGGTTAGGATTTTGGAGAGTATATGATTATTGGGTGCTTGGACCCTTGGGGGTATCACTGTGCTCCCAACGAATGGTACCAGATTGACGTGACAGTGTCGCTGAACTTAGAGTAACATACTCATGCTACCATTGTAGGATAGCCACATTTTCGCGAAGTGTTTTGTACACACCACAACTGAATCAGAGTTGTTGTTTGTACATGCCAGAAGGCGAGCTTCTGCAGAGAATTAGGATGTGCACTAAATGGTTTGCGTAAGTAAGCATCCCCAATATAGGCACTTAGGACCCTTTGGATGGCCCCAAAGGCTAAACCATGTTGATAGTATCCCCAACATAGGTGGTTTAGGGCTTACAGTAGGATCCCCCTTCTAACTAAACCCTAAACCCTGAGCCCTAAACCCTAAACCCCTAAACCCTAAAGAATCCAAGCAGCCCAGCAGAGTCCGATCTCAGGAGCAATCATCATCACGAACACAAAACCTAGGCTCAGGTACCCAGACCCCCGGGAGGATCTAGAAAGTAGATCCCCTAATTTAGGGCCCTATACTACTAAGGGTACTTTATGGGAACCCTCATTAAGGGATCTACTTTGTGGATCCGCCGGAATTCTGGGTACCGAGTTGCCCTCGAGTTTCGCTACCTAATCCCGACAGCTTAAAGACTAAGCCTAGCCGTGTCTCCTGTTGAGGATACGGTTTAGGGGTGAGTGTTTGCGGCTTAGGGTTTAAGGTTTAGCGTTAATTCTGTGCACAAACGAGTGTAGAGGCCTCAGAAGAAACAGCTGACCTTGAAAGACTTCACCATCAAGTCCACCCTCGTCTTTCGATATACGACTACATGCTTTGACGGCTCTGAACTTTGCAGCTTCGTTAGTACGCAGGCCTTCTGTAAGTAAGCCATGCAAAACAATTCAGTACTGGGGCTCTAAAGAGGGTCCGAAGTACCTATATGGGGGGATACTTACCCGAACCATGACATATCCTACTGCAGAAACGTTAGATTCATCGTACGAATTATGTAGTAGCACCCTTTGAAGTTGCCGTCCTGCTTGAAGGATAATGGGACTTAGCAACAAGGGTTATAAATAGGGTCACTATAGTATTAGAACTACTTATAACCCCAACTAGGGTACTCATAACCTTACTAAGTCCCACGATCCTCCAAGTGGAGCAGGTCTACACCCCAGGGATTCGATCCCTGGGGACCTACGACACAATGACAGCGAAATGCCCTAGAAACAAACTTTAACTCCAAAGCTTCCTAAACCCTAAAACCTTAAAGGCCCCCCACCCCCCACCCTGGAACCCTTGAAACCTTAAACCCACCCCTTTCCTTGCACCCTAAACCCCAGCACTTGTGTCCAGGAGGCAGCAAAGCAGTCGGCAGAGGCTGCTTTCCACGCCATACTCGCCTTTTGCTTGGAAGTCTCCGGCTTTAAGTAAGGATGTTGCCCCAAGGGCCCAAAGGATCCAATGATTAGGCACTCGGTTTTAGGATAGTAGTTATGTAGGTTAGGATTTTGGAGAGTGTACGGTTACTAGGTACTTGGACGCTTGGGGTTAGGGTTGAGGTTTAGGGGTTTAGGGGGTGTAGGGCGTTTTGGGGGATCCTTCAAGGGTTTAGGATACTCAGTGCTTGGAAAGCTCTGGCTAAGTTTCCTTTAAGTTTATAAGAGCCTCTTCATGATCTTTATCAGGTTCTATTGGGCTCGGCTCTTCTGAACATCTTGAAAAGTTCGTTTCTGGTCTGGAAAGGCCTTAAAAAATAGTTAGAAATAATGCTGACTTGTACAGTTGGAGCTCCAAGGAACAATGTTGGTAATGGCTCAGGCCTCTGTCGATAACCGTGCACTCAACGGTTCAACCTTTAACTCCAATTCCTCAGTTCTCACAAGCCCGATATGCTGGGTTCCTGGGCTTACCCTAAATGTCCTAAGCACATTTATGGGTCATACTACCCAAACCATAATTAGTGGTAGCTCCTACGATACAAGCCCTACCTAGGTACTTGGGACCCTTTGGGTTAGGGTTAGGGTTCAGGGTTTAGGCTTACACGGTTCTGAGTTTCCTTCGTAAGGTTCAATGCGCCTGGATCAATCAGCTTCGCTATGTCTTCCGCTTTCTCTGGCCAGAGTGCCTGCGAGCAAAGGAAGACCATTTCCAGTATTTGATGTATGGGTGGTTTTCGGTCCCTCTTGATTTGAACTTCCCAAACTTCAAGGTGCCGCATTAGGAGTAGAAATATATAGGGTCCCCAAAGATAACCTGATTTTCACACTCACCCATTTAAGCCTGAGCAATTACATGCCAGTAGCTCTTTCACCGGATGTTCATATATACTGGCGCTTCAGAACCGCGTACTGGGGTTTTTCGTGGTTCAGGAATCTCTGGCTTTGGGATGTCGTTCAAGCGTTGCTTTTCAAGTCCATCCTAGCCTGCTAGGCCATGCCCTAAGCCTGAGTCCCCCAAAAACCTCAACCCCTGCCTAAAGCCCTAAATCCCAACGCGCAAGCCCTAAACCCCTAAACATCAGGCTGACCCTTAACCCCAAATCCATAAACCCAAAACCCCGAAGCTTAAACACCCAAACTCCTCTAGCCCGGAAACCCAACTGCTTGCTTCTGATCCCAAGGGTTTAACCACACAGCAAGAAGGGACAATACCAGAGGGGTCTCAATCGTTCGAATAGGTTCAAGGGCAATTATATCCTACAGAGGGGCCTCATTTATCAGAATAGGGTTTCAGGGTATTCTCTATTAAATCGTAGGGACTGTACGGGAAAAGTTCCCCTGAAAGCCAGCACGACTGAACTTCGTTGGGACCTTCACGTGAAGGGTTTAGGGTTTAGGGCCAAGGGCACGTCGCTGATTTAATGAAGGAGCCTGAATAAGTAGAAATTAAGCCCTACGCACCTGCATGGAGTCGCGAACGAAAGTGCGCGTGGCCCAGGTGTTCCAGTTGTAAATCCGTGGAGGCGTGACCGTGGTGCCTGCAGCCATACCCGTTGGGGCATGGGGCTCTATTCACCCGACAAGGCTCCAAAGGCGGGTAGAGGGTTCGGTGTGATGAGTTGACGATCCCTAAGGGTCCATGTACTCATAATAGTATATACATTGGCCGTAATTTAGTACCTATATAGGTACTTTGGGGCTCATGTATCTCTATATTGGAGCTTCCGAAAATAGGGGACCCCAAGATAGTACCCTAAATAGTAGGATCCAAATAGGGACCCCAAAATAAGGTACCCCTAATTTTCGGTAACTCACATATGGGTACATGGACCCTTAGGGGATTGGGGTCCTTTATCCTCATGCTCCGCTGCTGTTCTTCGGCCTTCTTCCTCTGGGCAGCAGTCGGTCGAAGGCATTTAGAACCCCAAGGGCCCAAAGGACCCGATAATCAGGTACTCGGTGTTAGGATAGTAGTTATGTAGGTTAGGATTTTGGAGAGTATATGATTATTAGGTGCTTGGACCCTTGGGGGAAGGCCGATGCAGCAGAAGTCGGGTTTTGCGGTTTATGGTGACCCAGACCCCGGGAGGATCCAACAAGTAGATCCCTTGATGGGGATTCCGATAAAGAACCCTTAGTAGTATAGGGCCCCAAATTAGGGGATCTACTTTCTAGATCCTCCCGGGGTCTGGGGAGGCTCATTCTTTTAGGTCTTTTGGTTTAGGGAGTCGGGCTTCGGGCTGGGAACATCGGAGCTCCTTCTCGGCGCAGCTGGCAGAAACCACTTGCTCACAGGGACATTCCCAGACCCCCCGGGAGGATCTGGAAAGTAGATCCCCTAATTTGGGGCCCTGTACTACTAAGGGTACTTTATAGAAAGCCCCCAGTAAGGAATCTACTTTTTGGATCCTCCCGGGGGTCTGGGTTCCTGGTACACAGTTACAAATGAATTGACGGGTGCGTCGAAGCTGCACCTAAACCCTAGACTCAGAACTCCCAGGAACATCAAGATTATGAAGGCCCCAGAGTACGGCAGCCTTGACAAATAGAAGACGGCTCTCTTGGGGTACATTTTTGTAAGGAACCATGAAAGAAGTTGCTCGTACTGTATGCGTTATTTTTAAAATGCAGAACCTGTAGCGATAGCCTTAACCTGGATGCCCAGTAACCTAGGAATAAAAAGGGCTCCTTTTTTGGTATTGGGTAAGTTTATATTGAACCTAGGACTACAAAAAGGGAATAAGGGTACTACTGACCATCCTAGTAAAAAAAAAAGCCCAGGACTTGTTTCAATGACCTCCTGGTCCGGGGCAGCCGTCCGCGTTGGCGCAGGAACCTGCGCCGAAGTTGCCTCAGGCTTAGGTTCTCGGTGTTTAATGTCGGTGGAAGTGAAGCCTTGGGATGAGACCTTACTTAGGGTCCCTTTTAGGGGATCTACAGGGTCCCTTCAAGGGACCCTTTCCCAGACCCCCCGGAAAATCTCGAAAGCAGATCCCCTAATTTGGGGCCCTATACTACCACTAAGAGTACTTTATAGGAACCCCAATTAGGGGATCTACTTTTTGGATCCTCCAAAGGGGGTCTGGGGTGAACCTGATTAAGAAACCCTGGGCCTATAACCCAAATTAGTAGGCTTCATATAAGGAACCCTAATAAAGGCCCAAGGTTTCTTAATCTGGTTCCTACCTTAGGGTTTAAATCTGTAGGATTTGGGTTGAGGGCCTAGTCAAGGTGCCACACACAGTCTGTCAGGATTCGTGCATCCTTGAAGGGGGGCTCCCATGAAGGCATCCCATTATCTCACGAGCATCTTTTCTGGGATCCAAAACGAGTCCTTATTCTCCCAGACCCCCGGGAGGATCCAAAAAGTAGATCCCTTCATGGGGGTTCCTAGAAAGTACACTTCGTAGTACAGGGCCCCAAATTAGGGGATCTACTTTCTAGATCCTCCCGGGGGTCTGGGCTTGGGTTCACTGCCACCCTGCCGAGACGCACAGGTGCATCTGCCCGGCGAATGCGTCTTGTATCACCTCTCCACACATTCGATCTTCGGGCAATGGGCTGGGTCTGGGGGAAGTTTCAGAATCCTGAAACCCTCCAGGAAACCCCCACGATGAGGGCCGCAACCCTTACGCGGATTGTGTAAAGTTTCGCTTCATACGCAACATCTTCATTAAAGCTATCAGCTTTCGCCCTCTCACTGCATCCACATCGGCATCCTCATCACTTTCTTCATCATCATAATCACCATCTTCTTCTTCATCGTCATCATCATCATCATCATCAATCATCATCATCATCATCATCATCATCATCATCATGGTCGTCATTGTCATTGTCACGTTCCATTGCTGTCGTCGTCTTCACAGTCATCTCCATCAGCATCATCATCATCAACAGCATGATGCACATCAGGCTCCTCACACCCACCATCATGAGCATAAATGCCTGGATGATTAGCAATTGCTGATCGTGAAAGAGCATCACGAATATAAAGGACAACCACGGCCCAGAGCTTCAGGGGAGGAGCGTCCCAAGCCTCGATACTTAACAGCTTCAGCTCTTAAACCTAAAACTGGGTTTCTTTCGTTTTTCTTTTTTTGGGGGGGGAGGGCCCTCAATAGTTAGAACAAGCTGTTCGGGTATGGAAGCTGTTGGCGTACTGTTTATAATTGCATAACAGCCGCGCGGGGATACTACACTTGCACCCCAAGCTTGACAACCAAACCATAAACAAACAAACCCTGAACCTAACCCCAAACCCCTACAGTGGCAGCCCTAGCAGATGGGAAAATCCGAGAACCCAAACGAGGCGCATCCCGAGGCTTTTGTACGACTCGCCTGGCGCAGCTCAAGTCCTTTGGACCTAGACTACTACGATAATCGAGATCATTAGGGGTTTGGGGTTTAGGGATGAACAATAACCAGCAGATTTACTACAATAACAATAATAATACTACAGGAAGTAAGCGCCAGGAGGTGAGAAGTTCTTGATGCCCCCTCCCGTTGGCATGACCATGATCTCCCGATCCGGCAGCTTTGGCGGCGGAACGGGATCTGGCCACCACGGATCACCTTTGTTGTGGAGGAGGCATATGCTTCAAGTTAGGATGGTGGTTTAGGGTTTAGGGTTGGTGGAGGCATATACTTCAAGTTAGGATGGTAAAACGTGGCTTCCTGCTTACGGCCAAGTTGACCTACTTGTCGGGTATCATGGGGACCTAAAGGTTAACCTTTGTGGTTATGTAGGGATTATATAGGGGCTATACTACCCAAAAAGGTTAAAGGTTACCTACTCGACTACTAGGTTCAGATTCTATGGCCCAGCCACCATTGGGTTGAAGCAGCTCCTTCGGCAACTTCGTGTTCGTGCTGCGCAGATTGAAGTCATGAAGGATGTCTTCCATCTCCTGAGAGCCCACAAAAACTACCGTTCATGGTTCGGCTTAGCGGGTAATGCCTAAACCCTAAACCGCTATACCCTTAACCCTTCTATCCCTGTAAGCGCCCCAAACCCTGAACTGAACCTTAGGCTTCTCCTTCCGATGTTGATCCATGTGTTCAAAGGCTTTCTCTGCTCTGTCTTGCTGATCATGCAAGTCCTTGAGGGGCCGGGGGACATCGTGGACAACTAAAAGGGTGTTATGAGGGAACTGTATCGATTCTAGAAGGGCTACTACTTCATGAGGTTTAGGGTTTAGAGGGTTTTGGGGTTTGCGGGATGGGCCAGTAGGTCTTCAGTAGGGTTCTAAGCCCGGCATGTTACCTCCAAGTAGACCCTAAACCCTAAGCTAAACCCTACAGATCCCTTTAAGGAACCCTATATACATCCCTTTAAGGAGCCCCTTACTTACTAAGTCCCCCGACCCTCCATGTCCTCTCTTGCCTCATGGAGGCTCCTCAAGGTGATACCGTCAAAGATCTCCTCCGCCTCTTTGTCCTGCAAAAAGTGGGACTTAGTAACTTCGGGCTTCGGGTCCCTTTAAAGGGATCTATAGGGATACTAATCCTCCAAGTGGGAAAGTAACATCAAAAAAAGCCTTGCCTGTTATCATTTCTGCCGAAACCCTAAACCCTTAACCCTGGAACCCGAAATCCTCCTAGACTAAGGGAAATAATCGACAGATATCCACATGCGAGTTTCCGAAAATAATCAAGGGGGACCCTGATATAGTAATTACCCTGAATAATAGGATCCCCATTATAAGGATTTTCAAGATAAGGTACCCCTATTTTTCGGAAACTCTCCCGATCTTCAACGACCATCCTTCTCTTCGAGGTAATCGAACGTCTCCAGCGAAGGCTCTCCCTCCTCGACCATTTTCCTGGGGCGAGCTCATGTGGGTTTAGGGTTTAGGGTTTAGGGCCTGATTACATAAGAGTCCCTGGGCCAAAAAACCTAAAATAGTAGGGTTCGTATAAGGAACCCGAATTAAGGCCCAAGAAGGTTTCTTAATCAGGTTCCTACATTAGATGTGAGGGGTTTAGGGTTTAGGGAAGGCAGGGTATTCACTCGGTATCCCTAGTATGGTAACTACAATGGTAACTACAAAATCAAAACCTTGCTCAAACCGTATACACACCTTGCAAAGCCCTTCTAAACCCCTATAGAACCCCAAAACAGGACCCTCTCCTCAGCCCGAAACCCTAAACCTCCGAGCCTGAGCCCTAAATCCTAAACCCTGCGCTCGCACTAAACCCCAAACCCTCTAAAGCCACCATAAGATAGGGATCAAGGAACATCATTTGTTTTACGGTGCTAACTCTAAAACTGTAAACGCTGAAACAAGCCAGTTTCCTATCATGGTTGGGATCTATTAAAATTTCACATGCTTATTCCTTACCAAAAAAATGCAAAATTCTACCCAGCTATTACTCCCTGGTGCTGACTAGAGTCCCTATGTAATCCCCAATAATAGTTTCCATCGCCAGTTCCCCCATTCCCTACTCAGAACCAGACAGTATTAACGATGACAAAGTTTCTTGCCCCTGGCGCGAATGGAGCGCGCCAGCAGAACTTCCGGTGGGTCGCCTCCACCTTTCCTTGGTTTTGGGGTTTTAGGGTTGAGGGTTAGGGCTTCGGGTTCAGTTTAGGGTTTATGGTTTAGGGTTGAGGGTTTGGGGTAGATGGTGGAGGGTTAGGGCTTGGGGTTTAGGGCTGAGCTTTTTGTTTAGGCTTCGGGTTTCAGGGTGTAGGGTTTAGAATCCCAGGCTTAGGTTCAGAAACTTTCTTACTGGAGTTTGATAAAAATCTGCACGGGTGTCTATCCGGCGTTACATGGGTTGAGGCGTGCTTGCCATACTTATAGCAGCTTAAGGTGCGATGGTAAATCAATTAACTCGTATACACTATAGGGGCCTTGTAAATTGGAACAGGGTTTGGTGGTACATTGTCCTATAACAATACTCAGGAATTCTACGGAACAATCCGCACATATTCCCCCCCCCCCCCGCGATATCAGCAAGGGCACAACCTTTAAGACTCCCTACTCCAGTATAACGGGGACACATGTTCTACAGACTCCGTTTTGAGGCGCGCTCCTACTACTAGACCCCTTCGGTTGAACCCCATGTCAGATCCCCTTTATCGAACCCTCTATAACTTAGACACAACTGCACACAACAAGGACCCAGGTGCTGTCCAGCCTGCTCAAGGAGCGAGTTCACACTCTGCGTCATGGCATTCACCACGTCCCAATCCTGAGGTTATAACCCTAAGGGTGCTAGGTACATATATGGGGCCTACCCAAACCATACCGGTAATTCCTAACATAGAAGCCCTACATTCTACCATCTGGGTACTTAGGATCCCGTCGGGCAGGGTATCGGAGTATAGGTTTTTGGGTTTCGGATCAAGGGGTGAGTTTCTAGGGCTGTTCTTGAAGTTTCGACACAAAAGTAACAATGTTGCACTGTTGCACATTCCGCTTGCAAAGGCCGTGCCAAACTTGAGAATGATTCTAGAGCGGCCTGGAATCCACAGTCGCTTGTCGATAGCCGGCCGCCTCGCCAGCTTTGGTGGTAGCTTCGTCGGCATATTGTGTTGCCTCCCCGGTCGCCTTCTGCGCCTTGTTACTCGCGACGTCTGCAAGGGCACCGTACCAGCCGGCCTCTGTGGCAATAGCCTTCGCTCTGGCAGCAGGCTGGCTTTGGAAATACGGCGAGATCGGCGGTGGCAAAAGCGTGGGCGTCTCTGGCGGAGGCACATAGGCCTCTCCGACGGGTTCAGGCCCGGGCGTGCCAAAAAGGAAGCCCTTGGCTGCTCCCATAAGGGCACCACCCAGACCCTTCATGGCTCCGACGGTAGGGGCACAGGGTGCCCCAAGCGTTCGGGGACTTCTTATTTTGACCAGTCTTAATTATAATTCATTAGTACTACTTTGTGATACTTTGAGCATTATTGCTTTAGTACTCGCTGTGCTTACTTTATGTCTACTTATTCCCACACGAGACAATGAGCTTCCTTGCCTCGCTGCTGGCTCACAGAAAGGAAAAGTCCCAGGGTGCGTTACACCATGTTTTGAACGCCGAAAGCCGTCTGCTTCTTTGCGCCACATAAAGAGACTGGAGACTGCCTTTCCGGGGCAGGATGTTCGACTGTCATGGTTTAGGGTTTTCAAGCCATACCCATTCGATCCACACGCGACAGCCTTGACAGTCGGACGGCTGCGGTCTCGTGAGATTTTCCTGCATGCCCACCTAGACTCAAACAAAAAGCCCTGGGGTTCATACGCTCATGAAAAAGCTCCCTTAGAGTATCCACGTGAAAAACAAAGGCGAACACCACCCTAGCCCTACCTTAAGCCGGAATAACCTACCTTTTTAAGGACTTTTATAAGAAAATCATAGTAAGGAACCCCGGCTTAAGGTAGGTCAGACGCGGTAGTTCTCAAGGAACGCCCGCACAAGGGTCGATTATGACAAGGCTGACGTGAGTTGTTCTACGATCACGGACCCTATGAAGACTATGCCGGCATGACATACTATAGGGGCCTTAATAATTAGAATAGGGTTTTGGAGCCAATTGTACTATAAGTATAATGAGGAACCCCCGAAATAGTATTGGTAATTATGTGGGCCCCTATAGTAGGTGCTTGTGGACGGCCACTGTTCTGCGCACAGCTGTCTTGCCGACTGTCGATGTGAGAGTGGTCACGGTGATGGCGAAGAGTCAGGACACTAGGTCACTAGGTCAAAGAAAACACATGATGGCAATGATGAAAGGTTGAAATGATTCCGGTGATGATGATGATGACGATGATGCTGTTAATGGTGGTGGTGGTGGTGGTGATGATGATGATGACGAGTAGACTGATGGTGATGACAATCAATGATGGTGCTGCTGCTGATGCTGCTGGCCTGCCTCTTCCTGATCTATAAAGGTCAGCAGGGAGCCGTGCAGGAAGATCAGCAGCAGATGGTACGTCACCTTCAGCTGAGTATTCTCGGTGTTGTGGGACTATGCTACGGGGACGATTGCGTGTCCACGATATGTGCAACAGCAAAGTGTCAAAGAGCTGCTGCAAGGCTCATTCGCAAAGGATAACCTGCGCCGACTTCGCGAAAAAGCTTGAAATCCACCACACCGACTCACCGGCACGACTGAAAGGCTCAGAGGACCCGTAAGTAGGTTCTGTAAAAGTTTACGTAGTGTCACTTGGGTTATTCTGCTTGTACCCAGCCCTTGTGATCATTCCGGTGAGCCCCCACATGCATCAAAGAACCAACTTCTCAGGCCCGAATAAAGGCATCTTCTGGGTTGGCCCTTTCAAGCCTCCGAAACTATTCGTAACTAGGGTCCTATGAAGCCCAATAAGGCTTAAATAAGGGAAAATATGAAATGTCCCAAAGGCCTACCTAGTCTTGCCCCTGAAGGTACGGTTTGCTTGCTTATAGTTTCATCCCCGCCATATGATGCTTGGGCATTCAAGCTACCGTGTGTTGTTGCGGGGAATGCTTCATAAAAAAGGGCTTTTAATCTAGTATCTGGTCGAGGTTTGGGGTATATGTCCTATAAGAAAGGCGTCGAAACATGCGCGCTTGTAGGGTTGGGGTCGCAAACAAGGTCTAAGGTTTATGTGGGTTGGCCGAGTAACCGAGGAATAAAAAGGGCTCCCTTTTTGGTACTGGGTAGCTTTATAAGGAACCTAGGACTACAAAAAGGGAATAAGGGTACTACTGGGCAGCTTAGATCATGTTCAGGATTTAAGGGGGGTAGAGTCGGTGGGTTCGGGCTTTGAGTTTTGTTGGTGTAGGGTCCGCAGGCTTCTAGGACCTATGGGAAAAACAGCAGAACGAAGACTGAAAGCCTACTGCAGCAGAATACTCGAGCCTTGTAGCTCATGGCTACAAAACCATGGTCTATGCGACAGTTGTTCCAAACGCGGCTTGACCGAACATAGCTCCCATTCTCGGTCAGGATCCACTCAAAAAATGCAATCCAAATATACCCTCCTTTGAAAGACCTTTGGAACAACTTCAAGACCCCAGAGAAGCCCCTGGCAAACATAGACTCTTTATAGACTTGTTGGAACCCGCCAATACTTAACCCTCTGAAGAGGACCCTTTGGTATTCTATTTATAAACCCTTGACCCCTAAACCCTAATTAATCCTTTGAAGAGGACCCTTTGGTATTCTAAACCCTAGACCCCTAAACCCTAATTAATCCTTTGAAGAAGACCCTTTGGTATTCTAAACCCTAGACCCCTAAACCCTAATTAACCCTTAGAAGAGGACCCTCTGGTATTCTAAACCCCAGACCCCTAAACCGTAACTAACCCTTAGAAGAGGACCCTTTGGTATTCTAAACCCTAGACCCCTAAACCGTAACTAACCCTTAGAAGAGGACTCTTTGGTATTCTAAACCCTAGACCCCTAAACCGTAACTAACCCTTTGAAGAGGAGCCCTTGGTAAGCCACCCTTGTTTGTGTTTCCTACCAGAATCCTCCGACCCAGATCTGCACTGGGAGATGAGTGTAAGGTATGTGGGGTTCACGTAATGTATAGTATAGGGGTACTATAGGGTCCTAAATAATTGCCTACACTATTTTGAAGGTTCCTGATTATACTTACAGCATACTTCGCCCCAAAACGCTATTCTAACTATTACGGCCCTACAATACCTCATTTAGCGGCCATTACGATAAGAAATGGGATCCCTTATCCGCTGACAGTCCCATGTCTCCAAGGGATCATCACCAGGGGCAGCCAAGTGGCGGACGACACCTTTTCTTTCATTGGCAAGCTTCGGGGAGGGCAGATGTTGTTGAGTTTGCAAATAAGGGCCACTCGCTTCAACCTCCAGTAATCAAGGGATGTTTCTAAAGACATAACTTAAAAAAAGGGAATCGGGACCCTGGCTTCAGAACCATTATACAAGGGATGTTGATATGCGCAAAGCCCGATATACAAGGCATTTTCAAGGCATGCAACTTTGGGAGTTTCGGGTAGGCAATATAGGGCCTTACTACGGTTGATGATATAAATCCTGCATTATCCATATTAAGGAATATACCATAAATCCCATAGTTTAGGGTCCTTAAGGTCATGCAGGATTTGTATCATCAACCGTAGGTAAGAACTGAGAACATACTTCCCCTTCGGCTAGACTGTAATTACATCTATACTATGACGCAGCCCCCCAGGCCCTATTGCAACGTTCAGGCCCCTGAACCCTAAACTCTAAACTTCCCTTAAGTTGGAATATGGATTAATGGTAGGATCCCCTATAATTTACCTTAAAGGGGTTACGATAATGATGTTCCAACTTTCTGGCTTCTACTGTATACCCTAAAGCCTACCCTATCCTGGCTTATCAGCGCCCGGGGGCCACGAGACTCGAAAGCTCGGCGGGCCATCCCAGTGTCCGCGCGATCTGCGGCATGAGGATCCTCAATTCAGGCCCCGGGGCTTCATCCGGGTTTGGAGTTTAGTTAGGGTTTAGGGTTTGGGGGTTAGGGCTTATATATCCATTTTTCTCAGATCCAAGGGCACTTGTCTTAACGAGCTCTTTGTTTGCATTTCACATATGATATATTCAGTCTTACCGATGTTCGGTAAAGCTCTATAGGACTGACCAGTACTAGGGTTTTCATTTTTTTCGTGGGGCCAGTTTAAAGAGGGAACCTATCAGGCCAGAGGTGGGATTTCAAGTGCTCTAGCAGGATTTCTCAGCTAGAGCCCTGCTACTTAGGAGCCCCCCCAGGAGGTCGCTTCATCCTTCACAGAACCCACGTCAAATCCAAAAAAACGCGAACAGAACCTGGGTCGCTGGCCATTTACACAGAGCAACGATCCCGTTTTGTGGACCTACCTAGAGTCTCCATTGTAGTTCCTTTTGGGGTTAACAAGATATATGATCCATAATATAGTTTTTGGTTTGGTTAACCAGGAAGAGGTACTATAATGGAGACTCTAGGTATGTTTTTGGAATGATCACGCTATGGGAGGGGGTCCTTATCATAAATATAGTATAATGGGTCCCAAAACCCTATTCTAATTGTTAAGGCGCCTGTAATACTACAGTACCCCCTATAGTAATCCTTACAGCCCCCTTGAAAAGGAGCCCCCTTGAAAAGGAACCCTATTCTAATTATTTGTGGCACTCCGTATTTCCGGAAGATCCAATCCCCGAGCCAGCGCTCCATGAGGTTAGTCGGAGCCCTGTGTGGAGCCGTTTTGGATGCGCTTATTGCGTCTAGGCATACTTCTGGTAGCCCACAAGTTGAACCCCGAAACCCTGAACCCGGAAACCATCATCCTCTCAACCTTAAATACCCCGAAGCGTTAGAACATGAAGTTCATCAAAACACTCCTTCCCTTCAAAGCCCGTTCGAGCCCGGCGAATTCGCGACAAAAACACTCGAAAACAACCATGATAGAACTTGTCAGATTTCCACCGATAATTCAATCTCACCTCTAACAATGGGAGTAGTGATCATACCAGGAATTAACAAGCAGTCTTAACAAATAACAGTATTAAAGTAGTAGTACTGGAATAACCTGCAATGCGACCTAAAAACTAACTGACTGTTGTCCCAGTAGCAGTAGTTCATCATCACAACCGAAAATTACTATACCTGAACTCTTAACCCTGAACTTTAGGCTACTACCAAGAAAAAAATACCCAAGGCTCCATCGTAGTGCCTTTTTGGGATTACCTTATAGGATTCTATATATGAACACAAAAAGGAACTACTCTGGAGCCTTATGGTAAAAGCTAGTGTAACTCCGGTGAGTTTGCCAGCCAGGTGCACAGCTCCGTAGACCGAGCCGGCCTCTAAGTTCAGGGTCCTCCAGTTGATTTAGGATTTACGGGTTTATGGGGTTTAGGCCTTATATAGGGTTTAAGGTTTATAGGGTTTAGGGCTTATAGGCTTTAGGGTTAATAGTTAATCGGGTTTATAGGGTTTAGGACTTACAGGGTTAAGGGTGTATAGTGTTTCGGGTTTACGAGGTGTAGGGATTCGGGGGTTTAGGGTTCCTTTGAGGGTTTCAAACATGGCTAAGAAATGGGACCCTCTTGAACCTTTGAAAACCTACTTGGAGGATCCTGGGACTTAGTAAGTAAGGTTACAAGTACCTTAATTGGGGTTATAAGTAGTTATAAGTATAGTTACCCTAATTATAACCCTAATTACTAAGTCCCATGATCCTTCAAGTAGACCCACCATAAAGTCACCGGGCTCAGGGTTTCGGGTTCAGATTATAGGGCTCATGGTTTACGATTCTGTGAGGGTCAGGGCGGGTTAGGGTTCAGGATTCAAGGCTTTCGGGTTGGGGGTTTACCAGGTTTAGTATTTAGGGTTCTGGGTTTCAGGTTAAGCTCCCGTCTAACCCTCCGTTACAAATAAGAAGCCCTCTGGAACTCTGGAACCTTGTAAGCCCTACCTTAAGCCGGAATAACCTACCTTTTTAAGGACTTATATATGGAAATCATAGTAAGGAACCCTAAAAAGGTAGGTTATTCCGGCTTAAGGTAGGCCCTAGACTTGCGCCTGTCTGCCATGGATTGCAGGCCGCCCAACAAGCGGGCACCGGCAGCCCTGGTATAGGGAGGGACCAGAGGCTAGGCGACGAGTGTGGAATAGTATCACTCATTTTTCAAGCCCCTATTACTATCTTTGCGAGGCCAGAAGCACCACTAATAAGTAATTATTCCGACCCTTATACTCTAAGACGAAGAAAGCTCAGTGCAGGTGAAGTACGAGCACGAACAACCTTGAGCTGACCTCGAAGCTACGCAGGGGACAACTGCAGCAAGCGCTGGCTAAAGCAGGACAGGAGTTAGGGCTTGGGACTGAGGCTTTGGGAGTTAGGTTTTGGGTTAATTAGGCACTAGGCTTTGCAACCACGAGCGGACCAAGCCAGCGTTGTCAACCGCATGGAATGCCTCAAGCCTTCGGTTCATGTCAAGCGGAAGATGTCCCAATGTGTACGCTACGGGTCCAAGTACCTAACATTCATATACTCTCCCGAATCGTAACCTACATAACTACTATCCGAAACCTAGAAACCTAAGTGCCTAATTATTGGGTCCTTTGGACCCTTAGGCGTAGAACCTGTACCCGCAAGCGTCGTGACTACACCTTGCACAGAAAAGCCAAAAGCCTCACCTGCTACCCCAACCCCTCGAAATTCAATACGTCACCTGCTTTCCTAGTCATGCAAGAATCACAAGCCCTACTAAGTATAGGTGCCTCAGGTGATTAGAATGGGGGCATGTTCTGCGTATGTTTTCGAACGATTTTTGGTGACGAATCAGGCCTAACCTAGCTCTCTAAAGCCTTGTAACCGAAGCCTACCGAGCCTGGTGCTACTGGCGGTAAAGGACTCATCGGCTTCCTCGCCATAGAGCGCCATGGCTCTCACCTCGGTACGTTTGCACAAGGGGCTTTACGGGATCCTTTACGGGACTCTTTGAGGGTGCTGGGCTTCGGATTTCCGGCTTTGGCTGATTGTGTTAAACGGAACTTACATAGCCATACCTAGTTAGACCTACATTATAGCAAGCCTCCGATCCTTCGTCGAAGTACTGGTCCATATCGTGGTGCCTGCCGAAAATAGAAACACTAGTACATTCACTCGTACAAGACTCTGTTTTACACCAGAGCTCCGGAAAATGCATACGTTAACCGGGATCCCAGACACTAAACCCTAAACCCTGGGCACCGAGCATTGTCGTAAGTGTCGGGATCTGTTTGGTTTTCCTCTTTTTGGGGGTCGGGTTAAGGTGCTTGTGTCTGGGTTGAGGGTTTAGGCATGTTCTAAAACAAGGTTTACATGAGGGCCTCTTTACATGCTTTTTAGTTGGACGGGCAAACGTTGCACTACCTGGAGCTTCCATGCTTCCGCTCAGTGCTGTGCTCTGCAACTCGAACCGCACCCTCACGCCCCAAGTACCTTATATGGGGGATACTTACCCAAACCATAACTAATCGTAAGTCCTACCCGACTTTCTGCTACGTGGGGACCCTTTAAAGGCAAACCCGTCGGGGGATCAAGGGACTTAGTAAGGTTATCAGTACTCTCATTGGGGTTAATTATGATCGATTACGCTCACAACTTAAAATTCGAGTATTACAAGTATAAGTCCCATGATCCTCCAAGTAGGGATAAGGGATAGCCTGTAGTAGGACAAGGCACACTACATGCATGTGGCACAAAGGGCTCTGGGCGTCCGAAGAGGTCTTTCATGGCTTCAGGCCAGCTCGCAGAGAGTGATCGTCTACACCCTTTAGACCCAATAATTAGAATAGGGTTTTGGGGCCCATTATGCTTTAACTAAAACCACCAAAACACATAGGCAATGAGTAAGGCCCCTGCGGTGTTTACCCTGAACCTCAAACCCTGAACCCTAGACCCAGATTCCAAACCCTACACCCAAACCCTAGGGCCCTAGAGCCCTTATAAAGCCTAAGGCCTAAACCCCATAATTACCCTGCACCCGAAACCTGCCTGGACCCTGAAAAAGACAGAAACCGTGATAACGATCCCTACAAAAGTCCCTAAACCCGAACCCTAAACCCTAAGCCCTACGAAACTTCAAAAGGTGTGGTTCTTTCAGCTACAGGCACCACCGTAAACCCCCTAAGCCGGGGCTTCGGCAGAGAAAGAAGTGCTCTCCGCCTCTTGCAGGCCAGAGGATTGCGTCCCCTGGGCCGGTACAGGTTTTGGTTAAAGCTTTGGGGTTCTCTTTTTAGTGTTTAGGGTTAGGGGTTTAGGGTTGGGGGTTCAGGGTTTAGGGTTTGGGTTTAGGGTTTAGGGTTTGGGTTTAGGGTTTAGACCCCCAACTAGCCTCGAATATACCCTAGATCCCCACTATTGAGGGCCATAAGGGCTCTACTAAGGGGCACTTGGGGGTTCCTGGTCGGTTGGGGTCTCTGCTTTAGGCTTTTGGGTTTGGGGCCGGTGAACATTAGGGGGTTTGGGCTCTTGTTAGGGCGAGCGGGTTTCGTTTTGGGGGTTCGGGGGAATACAAAACCGCTAAACCCTCAGGCTCCATAGTAGTTCCTTTTTGCGGTTCATAGATAGAATCCTACAACGTAATCCCACAAAGGGAACAGGGGTTTAGGGGTTTAGGGTTTAGGGTTTAGGGGTTCAGGGGTTTAGGGGTTAAGGGGTTTAGGAAGTTAGGGATGTAAGGATTTAACGGTTTAGGGGTTTTAGGGTTTAGGGGCCTAGGGTGTAAGGTTTAGGGTTTACGGTTTATGTCCCCAGAAACAGTCTATAATCGGCCTATTTTTAAGAGCCTTATATCTGTGTTATAAATGCTCTTCAACTGTTCCTGGAGTGGGGGAGGGGCAGTATCCGAGGCATATCATCTTGGCTTCCACGACCAACCGTTTTTCTCCGGAGCTTCGGCCACCTTCCTAGGACTGCAACAGTGCATGGGACTTCGAAGACAACCGTTTAAGCCCAGGATAAAACAACCGCCGAATTTTTCGGACCGTGTCTGAGTTCATGGGTTATCTTTTAGCTTGGTCGGGCGAAGCATAAAGTTTATCAGCAGTTTTCTGCTAGCTGATTTTGATGATCTGCTGCTGCTACACCGGCGCCGCGCTTTAGCCTAAACCCCACACCCTTCGTGATGATTGCATCAGTACGGTTGCTCTCCCGTCCTCTCTGGGAATCTCCCCCACCCCTAAAGACTAAAAGAACCTGCTAAATCCTAAACCCTGAACACCAAACCCCTAAACCCTAAATCCTAAACTCTAAACCCTAAACCCTAAATCCTAAACTCTAAACCCTGAATCCTAAACTCTAAACCCTAAACCCTAAATCCTAAACTCTAATAATAAACCCTAAAACGCGAAGCCGCGGCACGATACCTTGCGGCCGGCTATGGCTGCGGTAAAGGCCCCCGCCGACCTCAGAGCTGGAACCGCCTGTGCAAAGCGAAGGCTCGGTTGAGGGTTTAGGGTTCTAGGGTTTAAGGTTCTGGGTTTTGGGTTTTGGGTTCTAGGGTTTAAGGTTCTGGGTTTTGGGTTCTAGGGTTTAAGGTTCTGGGCTTTGGGTTTAGGGTTCTAGGGTTTAAGGTTCTGGGTTTTGGGTTCTAGGGCTTAAGGTTCTGGGTTTTGGGCTCTAGGGTTCAGGGTTTTTGGGTTAGGGTTCTGGGTTCTAGGGTTCAGGGTTCTGGGTTTAGGGTTTTGAGTTCTAGGGTTCAGGGTTCTGGGTTTAGGGTTTTGGGTTCTAGGGTTCAGGGTTCTGGGTTTAGGGTTTTGGGTTCTAGGGTTCAGGGTTCGGGGTTTTGGGTTCTAGGGTTTGAGGTTCTGGGTTTTGGGTTCTAGGGTTTAGGGTTCTAGGGCTTTGGGTTCTAGGGTTTAAATTCTAGGGTTTAGGGTTCAGGGCTTAGGGTTCAGGGTTTACGAAACAGGGTTGAAGGCTTCGGGTTCAGGGTTTAGGAAACAGGGTTTAGGGTTTAGGAAACAGGGTTCAGGGTTTAGGAAAAAAGGTTCGGGGTTTATGGAACAAAGTTCAGGGTCAGGATGACACTCGACTTATCTACGTCCGCACGATTGGTGGGCTGTGTGGGTCGGAAAGGGCGCCTGTGCTCGAGGAGAAAGCGGGCGGGAAAATGAATGTCGACTCCGACCTTGAGGAGTAATTCCCCAACCCTAAAACCCCAGAAGATCCAACAAGAGTTTCTTTTTGTAGTAGCAGTAGACATAATGCAATGATAAGATGTTGCATTATCAACACCAGCTCCGGTTGACTACTTGAGATTCGTCGAACTCCTGGACTCGCCAAGCACAGTATGTAGGGACCTGAGTAATTGGTTCAGGGTTCTGGGGCCCATTGCAACATATATATATATATATATATATATACAGATGTATATATATATATATATATGTAGCAGACATATATGTATACGCACATAGGCTTGTGCTGTTTCGCCAGATAATCCCGGCAAGCTTTCCAAGCATCTGCTAAATTGTCGTACTGCCACCAGGTATACTGGGATCGGCATTCTGCTGGCTTCTTGATCCAGAAAGCCTTGTTCCTCACCAGGACGTCAATCGCGATCCCGTCCGGTAGCCGAACAGTGTAAGAGTGCTGGCCCGAAGCTTCGACTGGTGGCTGAGCCTCTGATGGCGTTCCTGTGATGTCATAGCCCTTGAAGAGGAGCGCACCACTAGATGCAGATTTTTCAGGTCCTGGCGCACTCTTTGTCAGGGCCAGAATCGCTTGCATGCTGTTCCGACACAGGAGACTTCTCATCAGCAGCAGCTTCCACCACTTCAGCATTATATATATATATATATATATATTTATATTTATATGTACATCTATATGTATGCGCATATGTATACGTATACGTATACGTATATGTATATGTACATGTACATGTATATGTATATGTATATGTATATGTATATGCACACACACATATATATATATATACATATAAGAGGTGTGTATCTGAATGAGGGTGTGTGTGTGTATATATATATATATATATATACATACATACATACATATATACATACATACACATGTCGGTTAAGTCCTCTAAGGCGACACAGGGATACAATTACTAGTCCGTCCGACCCTTACGATATAAGGTAGAGGCACAACCCCTAGGTCCCAAACCCTAACCCCCTAGCCTCAAACCCTGATCCCCTGCGTGAGGACTCTAGCAAGCTTTCGGGGCTGCGGCAGTCAGGTTCAGAGTTCCTGGTTCAGTATTTTCAACAGGGGTGTTAAGATGTCTTAAGGTTAGGGCTTCCTGGGCTTCCAAGACCCCGTACATGTCAGTCGAAACCTTCTTTGTGGGACCGAAAAGGTAGCTTTTGGGAAAGCTGGGTTGTAAGCTTTAGGGCTTTAGGGCCTGGGCGGCCGAATTACTTTGCACTGGCAAGAAATACAGGAATTCTGGACTATACCTTGAAATCGGTTCAATAACGGGCATCGAACACTTCTCTATGAAGGACCAGCAGCACCGTGACAGAGATTACAGGTCGGAGCACGGCGTCTAGAGATCGGAACATGTAGTACAGGTATCTCTTGCAGCGCAGGTATAGTCATAATACAAGTGCCTAAAGATCTACCACTACTATTGTGGGGGCTCCAAATATCGTGATAGTAGAATGTACCCCAAAACCCTATTCTAATTATTAAGGCCCCTACAGATCCCTTATAGTAACCCTTTAAGGATCCACTTAAAGGAACCCAAAACCCTATTCTAATTATTAAAGCCCCCATTTACTTGCACATGCACGAAAAAGCCCGTCTGATTGTTAAGGCATGTCACAATCGGCCCAATCATGCTGCACAGGGACCCTTGGGGGTGGGTAGGGGGGAGGGGGGTGGGGGACTATACTTCCTTAAATAGGCATTATTAGGTCCGTACTATGGCCATTAAGGCCGGCTATTCCTGGTGATCTCTGTCTGCCTACCGGCGCATGAAAACCAATTCTTACAGTTATTGCGAGCAATACCAACATTGCTTTTACTACTGCTCTTACTGTTATTACTCTCACAAAGCTTACTAGTTTAATACTCTGCTTAAGCATTACCCTAAGGCTCAAAACAGCCCAAAAGCCTTTTTTAGTATGGTCTTTGGGCCCAAAAGCCTTAATATATGGGTCCTTAGAGCCTTAGGGTTACCCAAAGGGTCCTATGTAGAATGTAGGGTTTCCATATTAGGAATTACTATAATGACTCAGGGAAGTACCCCCCATAATAGTACATAGGACCGTTTGGGTTATTTTTCTGAAGCAGTTCTTACAAAATCTCCCGAACCGACAAAGCGAAGCCTCGCTGCTTCATGGCGAGGTAGCCTGCTCACGGCCAAGCTTCGGCTCAGGTTTTGGGTTTAGGGTTTAGGGGTGTAGGAGTTAGGTTTAGGGTTTTGAGGTTTAGGGTTTAGGGGTTTAAGGGGTCTAGTCTCAGGTTCAGGGTTTGGGGTTTAGGATGCAAGAGTCGAGTTCTAAAGCCCACGGTCTGAGTCTGAACCTTGAATTCCTAAACACTGAACTCCCTAATTTGGGGCCCGATACTACTAAGGGTACTTTATAGGAACCCCCATTCAGGGATCTACTTTTTGGATCCTCCCGGAATTCTGGGCTTTAAACCGTCAGCAACCTAAACCTTAAACCCTGAACGTAGATACTGCCGGTTGGGCTTGCAGTCCTGAGCTGTATGCCACTCTTCTCATGACCTAGAAGGCTCAAAGGGATATTGGGGGGTTTTCAGGGTCTAGGGTCTTAGGGTGGTTTAGGGTTTAGGGCTTTAGGTTTTTCATTTGGTTTGTGTTCAGGGCTTTAGGGTTTTGGGTCTTAGTGTTTAGGGTTTAGGGCTTTAGAGTATAGGGTGCGTTGTTATTGGTCGAGCTCACGGGATTTGTAGTTGCTGAAATTCCCTGGCCCAAAGCCGGCTACCTTGTAAGTCTACTTTGCATCCGTATCAGGCGTCATATAACCCATTGCAAGACCTCCTGATGAAAGACCAGGAGCGTGCAAGATTGTTGATTGTAACACTGAAACGATTTTGCATCCCTAGATAGAGTTTTGGCGTTTGTTGGGTTGAATCATTAGAGTAGGATTGCGGTGCGTCTTGTAGGACTCTTAAATACGAGGACAAAAAACAATCTTTAGCACCACTTATTCCGACCCCATACATGATAGGGCGTATCTATAGAGGGCCAGCCTTTCGACCCCGGCAAGTGCGGCATCTTCGCCGAAATTGCTGCACGGGAGCGGCAGGGGAGGGTGCCTTTGCCTTCTTCTGTGCGCGGTAGGCACCGAAGCTCGGATCTGGGTCTTAGGCTTTAGGGCTTAGGGCCTAGGGTCTGTAAATCTTAAGCCCTGTACCGGTATCTGATTCTGTCTGCTTCGTACTTTCAGCTGCACAGAGGCAAAGCAGACTTGACCAGGACTGTGTACTTGGATAACTGACGGTTCGCACAATTGAAAAACTTGTTCATAGTATTGCCACTAGTGTTACTGCTGTTAAGATCTGGGACCACTTTGTTCAGGTGCAGGGCTAGGGCTTAGGCTTAAGGTTTTGGGGTTTAGGGTTTAGGGCTTAGGGTTTTGGGGTTGAGGCTGTTGGGCTGAGTTTTAGGATTAGCCCTAAGCCGACTTTCCGTCGCGGTGATGCTCTCTGCTTCCCGTGCCCCGGACTGCTGAAACAGTTCAAGGTTCAGGGATTTGCCCGGCGGTTTCAAATAAAATTAACAGGAGCCGCGGGTTGTCTTGAGCTGCAGGGCTGCAAAGGCATCACAGGCAATGGTTCAAAACAGTGTCCAGGACTCACGTTTCAGGCCAGGGGATACGGGGTGTGTCAGTGCACTTGCTGCAGACCTATACAAGGATGTAGTAGGAATAAACGAGAAGACCTAAGGAATAGTTTTGATGTTCAACCCTAAACTAGAACACCCAGACTCCCATGTAAGTAAAGAGATTGGCGGCAGGGCATTGGGATGAACATGGATTTTGTACAGGCCTCTGATGGAGTTTGGGGATTTGAGGTTTAGCATTTAGGGTTTAGGGGCAGGGCCTCAAAGCATAGAATTCCATGGTCGTAGTTGCGGTTGCCAGGAGCATGTACTTTACTGGGTTGTAGTTTTCAGGCTCTGAAACGTATTTATGGATAGGTACCTCTATAGGGGCCATAAAGGGAAATTAAAAAGTTTCCCCAAATTGCCACCCAGTTTGGATTAAGAACCCTATTCCGTTTTGTTCTCGTGTGTTCGTCGTTTGTACTCTGCCACATATGGCACACATACAAAATACATACAATTGTAACTATAAATAACTTTTTCGATGTTTACATATAGGTAGTTAGATAGATACAAGAACGTTACATTACATTGTTGAGCATCTCCATGTGCTTCTGCCAGACCTCAGCCCATAGTCCGAAGTTCATATATAGTGAACCCCAGAAAGTTGGAACATGGATTTAGGATGATTACTGCTGGGATCCCCTATACTTTACCTTTAAGGCCATGAGGATATTGATGTTCCAACTTTTACTGTAACCTGAAGCCGAACATCCCTAAAACACTTAAGCCCACTGCTTTTTCTCCCAAACAACATAATTAGGCTTCATCCATATGGGTGGTTGTCAAAACTAGGGTCCCCTTTTGGGTCCTTGTTTTTAATACGGCACCTAATATTTAGGGTGCCCAAATAGGGACCCTAATGTTGACAAGCACCCATATCAGAAGCCCGGAGGATCTCCAGACCCTTCAGAAATCCGCTAAAGGACCCTCCAGAACTCCTGTAAAGCCCGGTAACAACCTTGTCACGCCCCGTAGTACGAAACCAATCTGATCTGGCAGGATCTTCCCTGTAACATAATATGAATAAGGACCACGCAAAAGGGCTTCGCCGTTAACTTAAACCCTAAACCCCCTCCCCTCGCCATGTTGAAGGCAATTTCAGACAGAACCCCCGCGCACCCGGAGGAGCTTCGACTCCGCCTTCGGCGTCGCGACCTATGTTGTGTTCTTGTTTTAGTTTACCAGTCGTTGTTTTGTTTTTGAGCTCCTTTCTGCGGACGCCCGAAGGTCTAGGGGCTTGGGTTTAGGGTTTACCACTCTGGATTAGGGTTTCGGCTTCAGGGGTCAGGGTTTAGTTTGTTGTGCTTGTGGTTTTGTCTCTGCCCTACCTGTCGTCTTCATTGTAGTTCCTTTTTCGGTCCAACTAACTACATATCTAGGGTCCCAAAAGCCAAACAAAAAGGAACTACAACGGAGACTATACCTAAACCCAAAAATCCTAGAGGCCCTATGGTAGAAGCTCAAAAGTTGGAAACTCAATAGCCTCAACCTTAAAGAGCAATGTATAGGGAATCCCAGCACTATTTGGCCTTAGTCAGGTTTCCAACTTTATGTGGTTTACTGTAGACCCTAAACCCTAAACCCTAAACCCTAAACCGGGGGTTTACTGTAGACCCTTTCCTTTGCAATTGAACCGCGGCGGTCTGAAGGTTTGGGGACATAGAGCCCATAACCCTGAACCCTGAATTCAAAAAGCCCTATGTAAGGGCTACACCCTTAAATTGGGTTTGGGGCTTATAGGGTTTATGGGGTTTCGGGTTTATAGGGCTTATGTGGTTGAGGGTTTGGGTTTGTCCTTCAAGGGCTTAGGGCGGGTGCTAGAAAGATTGTAACTCGGTGGTTAGCTTGGGTACAGGGATTCTGGCAGTGGGTTTAGTTCAGCTTTTCTTGGCTGGGCTTTGAAGTAACCAGGGAGATAAAAGTATAGACTTTTATTTCATCGTTGATTCCCTTTAAATAACAGGTTCCAAAAAAGTATTTAAAGTTGGTACTCCAGAGCCCAGTTGGCCTCTTCCGACTCTTCCGCGAACGGTCTCGTTCTTCCCGTGGAGCCTGGCGGCTCGCACGTACTTAAAGGATCATGGGACGTGGTAACTAGGGTTATAAATACGGTAACTATACTTATAGTTACTTTTAACCCCATCTGCATGGGGGCCTTGGTACTTGGAGGAAATATGATAACTATAGATATAATTACTTAGAACCCCAATGAGGGTACTTATAACCCTACTTACTAAGTCCGCCGATCCTCCAAGTAGGGCCCAGCTTAAGGGTCTCAAGGTGAAGGCTTCTACAGGGGGCGGAAGGGGCGGGGGTGGTGTGCACAGTTGAGGGGAACTTAGAATTTAAGGGTCGCAGATTTTTCAGTGTCATATTTAATCTGGAAGGCATTGAATTTAAGCTTGTTGCTACATCGTCTGTTTCCTTCTGCTGTCGCACGCACTTTTACAACCTTCATAACCCAAAGACCTCAAACATAAAGACTGATGCCATAGAAGAAACATCTATATCCTAACAGCCCTACACGACACCAAAAACTCCCACACCCTTCCTAGAATGCTGAACTTTACCCCCTGAGCCCGAAACCCTAATTCGGTCGCCCTGCTGAAACACTTGTAAGACCTCGTAAAACGGCACAGACGAATTTCTGACACTATTCCTGGTTGTAATCATGACTTCCTTGAGGTTCCTGAATATCAGCATATTGAGAATATCCCCAGAGCTCAGTTGTAGTGATGAAGGCCCGTATAAACCCGAAACAGAAAACTCCAAACCCTAAACCCCAAACCCGTAAACCCTAAACCCCAAAACCCAGACGCTAAACCCGAAACTCTAAACCCTACCCCGTATAGCACTTGTATGCCTTGGCAGCTTCGGCCTTTCGCGCAGCGGCCTGTCAATGCTGGCATGCCAAAGCACTGCATGTCCTATAAGACCCCTCGCAGCACAGATGGTCTGACAGTCTTCGGATTCCAAAATCTGGGACAACACAGTACTTGAAGCAGGGTTACAGGATGCTCTAGGGTATGGTCTAGGACAGCTAGTAACTAGATCAAGCCATGGACATACTCTATACTATAGTTGAAGTACATACATACCGGACAACTCTTGACCGGTACTTTATGCAGGTTATGACCATGCCCTTAATGTAGAGGAACATCCAGAACCCCAGACCCTGAGCCATTCTGGCGTGGCGCGCCTCTCGGGCCTCTCGCTCACGGAAGCGCTGGCCTAGATCTCATTTAAGAGTTTTGTGGGAGATTTAATGAGGTACTGTAATGCTTTGCAAGACACCGTGGCAGACTTTGTAGGGCTTATAAGGCTTATCCTGGAAAAGACTCTAGGCTTCAGCGTCTGCCTCCGGGTTTGGCGATCTCGCGTGGGCTTCAGGGCTTTTTGTTTGCTGCTACGTGGCTTAAGCGAAATATAGGCGAAGACAGCTGTCCTAACAGCGGGAGTGGTAGCCCATGAACTGCTATGACCTGCTTGCTAAGTCCAAGGATGCTTCAAGCAAGGACAAACAGTCCATACAGAGACGTTGAGCGTTCATCTGCCTTACACCGCCCATGAACCGTGACACTCTGAATGAATGGTGCTTTATGGGTTTCACCACCATCCCTGGGGCTTGCTCCTACTTAGCTTTGGGCAACCCCTCCTGCAAAAAGACCCGCTAGCCGACCCCTACTCGTGTCTGCTTCAGTTCAAGGTTTTCTGAAAGCCCTAAAGCCTTAAATCCCTCAACCCTAACTAGACCCCTAAACTGTTCCCGGAAAACCCCAAGCCCATAATCTAAAGCCTAAACCCCAAACGCCGCTAATGCAGGAACGTGATTGGCGCAAGAAACCTCTCAGTCCTCCTTAGGGCTCTGACTTCAACCACGCAATCTGAACCAAACCCACAAATAGAGTCAATTGAGGGGCCTTGGGCATATAGTAATACTTGAGCTAAGGGTTCCTTATACAAAGTAATTAGTATAACCCCGCTACCCTCCCGAAAGCCTGGCCCAAAGCCTAAACTCTACATCCCAAACTCTAAACCCGAAAAAACTAGACTGTAATTCCTAAACCCGAAACCCTCCTAAATCCAGAATCGAAGACCCTAAACCCTAAACCCTAAATCCTAGGCGTTGGCTCCAGCGGCCCGTAGACGCAGTTTCTCTTAGGAGTCCGTCTACGACCCCGAGCCATACCCAGCGAGGCTGAGAAAGCCCGCGCGATTGCTCAGCGAGGCAGTGTGCCCTGAGCTTTTTGCATTCAAGGTTGCTGCTCCGGCCAACCTATTGCCTTGGATCTGTACGCTTAGCGAGGATCCCTTGGCGCAACCCTACTACGTAGCTGGTTGCAGTTTTTGATTGGGTTATTCGTTTATGATATACGCGCTCCTGCTGCTCTTCCTCTACATTGCTGACAGTGGCGCGTACAACCCCGGAACCGAGTTGGCACCGACGCCAGCGACGAGACCGCACAGCGGCAAGACTACGCTTGCGTCTATTTCTGAGCGGCTATTTGGGAGCCGGATCGGAAGTACGACGCTCTGTGAGAGTTCTTGCGGGACATCATTCGAAGAGCACCCTGGTCCTTACTGCGCAGAGGAAGCTGTGCAGTCCTACAATGGCAAGCTCATGGAGATGCGGGTTGTGCCGCATCCAATGCAAAGCAAGTGCGGCATTTTGTTCTTCCTGTGGTGGAGCGTGGCGGGATGTCATGACTACGGACACCCGGCCACAGCCCAGCTACAGTGGAGGACGGGGCAGCCAGAAGTGGTCAGAGGATACTTGGGCTGCTCCTGCATCGCCCCGACGCTGGGAGGAACCTTGGAGGCCCAAATCTCCACGCCGAAAGAAGGGTGGAGGTCGTGGCAAGGACGCTCCCAAAGGCAAAGGCGATGGCAAAACTGGCAAGAAGGGTGCGGGGGACAATGTGACGACTCCGCATATCCAAGGACAGCTGCCAGAGCCACCGACGAGACAACCGCCACAAGGGCCGGTTGCTACGGCGAACAAGGAGGTTGCCGCATCGAGCACTGCCACCGCAGATCGGCAGGCGCTCGAGAAACTCATCCAGGCGATGCAAGCCAGCGAACAGGAGCTGACGCCGCAGTTACGGCAGCTTCTCGAACAGCACCGGCTCGACGACACCAAGGCCGAGGCCCGCAACCTTCACCGGATTGTGGCGTCCAAGGCTGGAGCCAAGAAGGAGCTCAGCAAGATACGCCTGGGACGCTCGAACTACCTGCAGTCCTGGAGTTCCTACCTCGACCAAGTGGTTGCTACGCTGCAGAAGCAGATCAGCGAGCACACCACGACCATGCAGGACTTCTCGGAAAAGGAGATGCAATGGGAACAGGCTTTGCAAGAAGCGTCCCTTGCACTGACGCGAGTCGCTACAGACCGTGTGGAAGTCGAGACCATTACGGACGACGAAGAGGCCATGGATGCATCCGAGAACAGAGTCGACGAGGCCATCAGCATCGAGTTGCTAGGCCAGAGAGCCAAGGAGCGAGCCAGGGTGCTCGAGCAGCAGGGCAATTCGCTGGTGGCTGCTTTGCAAGAGGCCCGACAACAGGCTATGGAGGAGTAGGAGAAGGATGCGAGAGAGCGCACCCCCCGCCGGTCCAAGCCACATGCCGAGAAGCCCGAGGCCGCCGAGAGCGGAAAGGGCTCACAACGAGACGGCCAGCCCCCTGGCCAGGCCTCATGAATCGCCCACGGGGGCTCATGAGGCCTGATCTCAATGTTTCCGCTTCTAGCGTGATACCTTTCCTGCATCCGGTGGTTAGGGAGTGGGATTTTGCCCTACCACAAGCCGCGTGCTGGTTTGCACTCCAGCTCAGTTTTGAGTTACAGTTTGATGCTCTAGGCATCCCTTTCACGCCAGGCACCGACAATCGCACAGAAGGTGCCGAGACCTTGTTTCCCTGGACTGCGCCCGAAGTTGATGTGGGGCGACATGTCGTCAGGGCCCACCGGCTTACGGGCGACCCACTTACGTTCCAGCCTTCCGGCCCATCTGAGGATGCCGATGTGGCTGACGAAGTAAGTGGCTGGCTCAGAGCCTGTGGGGACTCATGGCATGCGCCGGCTTCTGAAAGGTCCCCTGTACAGCTGCCTTCGGCAACATTTTCCGTAGGTAGGCCGTCATCCTTGCATCGAGCTCCCCACTCCCTGCCCTTTCGAGTCTCTTTCGAACAGAAAGCAGCTCATGGTGGCAAATGCCTGAGGGATATGAATCTTGTGCTAGGACAAAAGCCTCAAGCATATCCTCTCAATGACACACCGCTCCCCTGCAACCCAGCGGCCCCTCCAGCGGCAACATGGCAGTCAGGACCCCAGTCGCAGCCTGTGCAGTCATGCTGGACTCGCACGGCACCTCCCTCTCCTCCCTGGCTGACCGATCCCCTCCGAGTTCCAACGGAGGTTGCCGTTGCAAAGGCGGTCAAGCCGTCCGCGGGCAGTCTGCCCCGACGGCCCACTGCGCTGCAATGCACAATCACCGCGCAGATTCCGCTCGTGCCAGACGCACTCAGTGGCCGGCTGTACCATGAGTGTGTTGACAGTTTGGCTGCTTACACAGCCGGCTCTGACTATGATGAGTCTGGGCATGCTACCTTTACTGTCTTCGATCCTCCTCATGGAATGCGTACCAGGCGATCTCACCGCACGTGGACCATTTTGGAACACGCTGCCGATGCGGTTAGCAGTGCGCCCATGCGTGTACGAGCAATTCAACTCATTGAACGCGCCGTGCCAGGACTAAGCACGCCGCAGCTCACGCTGACGCCCCGGGATGCCGAGGCACATCAGCTAGCGCTTCCAATTGACCTCAGGGGGCAGCAAGGCTCAGTCATCACTTTGGTGCTGGAAGCCGGGATGTCTGCGCAAGACGTTCTGCGTAGGGCGGCTGAAGCTACTCGGGCACGGCTTGAGGATTTACTTGTAAATCCCTGGCTGTATCACCTTGTCGCGTCTGACGGCAGCGTTGTCCCAGTCCTACAAGCGCCAATTTCTCAGTATGAGTGGTTCGAGGTTAGGTCACAGGTTGCCGAAGCCGTCGTACCAACCGCTGGTTTGTTGGAATCCGCGACCAGCACCACTACGACAACTGCTGCTCGAGCACCTCTTGATCTGTCTGAGCTAGAACAGATTCTGCTGAGTACTGGCGGCGATCCAAGGTCGGTACTACCAGGTGAGCTCAGGGATGTCGAATTGTTGCCCAGAGGTGTACACCATGGGGCAGCACATCGCGTTCCCTTAACGCGTTTGCGCATGTTGCCGGACCTGTGCCCTACCCCATATCCGGGAAGCGTTTCTAGGTCGGTGACCTTTACGATCTTTGTGGCAGCACATGCTCCGCTCAAAGTACAGGGCATTTTGGACTGGACGCTGATTGACTTTCTGCGGACCAGTGCGCAATTTGCGGAGACGCCGTTGCACAGGTTGCAGATGCTCACCACAGCGGTGCCAGGGCTGCCGACACCACAGGTGGCGCTAACTGAAGGCAATGAGATTGGTGAATCTACTGTCATTCCGATCGATTTGCGCGGGCTTGGGCAAGATGTGACCCCCCTTTTGCTCCCACCGTCCTTCGACCGAGCATCAGTGCTCGAGGCCATCGCGTTGGCTGTTCCGCACTTGCGCACCACCATTGAGGACCCGCTAAGTGGTCACCGGCTGCAGCTCATCGATGCCCAGGGACAAAGCTGGGACTGTCTACCAACCAGCCTCTCCTCGATTCAGTGGCTCACCCTGTCGTATGCCCCTGTTCCAGCAGGGCACCTTGACCCTTTGCTCTTGGCGACCACTGCCGATGAGAGCTCGACTGATGCTGCAGCGCTCTTGCAGCTCGCAGCAGACAAGGTTATCCAAGTCCCTCGACTGGAAGGGGACAACGAGGTTGGGCTTCCTCCCTCACTCCTTGGCAAACTCTCACCGCATAGCACCAGCTTGGCATGCCATGGCCATGTTCGGATCGTGCCCGACTATTTGAATAGGCCGGCCGCATTCAACAGAGAGCTTGCGCAACTTTCGTGGGGAGGGAGGGAAGGGGAGGAAACCACCCATTTCACAGTGTTTGATACCGTGCATCAAGTCCGTGTCCTGCCACGAGACCCCAAGGACTCCCTTCACAGTTGTGTTGGCAAGGCACTCCAGGCTACGCCCGTTGATATCAATCGCATCCGAGTCCTGACTGTGCCTGTTCCGGGTTTCCCACTGCCTCAGCTTGTGTTGCATCAGGCTGCGCATGTTGATCCCCTGGACACTCTTGTTTGGGACCTCCGACCCATTCAACAGCCGGTCCGCACTGTAGCTCTACCCAAAGGACAGGATCTTGTGGCTGCATTTCAGCAGGTAGTGCAGCCTTTGCCACAGGCAACTGCTTTGCTAGAGGGATGGCGTAATGGTCGGGTAGCTTTGGTTGACGCGCTAGGGCTGCTTGAAGACAGGCTCCCCCTTGATTTTGAGGAGGCGCAGCATGTGCGTGCAGAGGTTGCCCTTTTCCAAGGGCTGACCCAGCTTGTCCTTGACCCGAGCACATGGCCGCTACCACCAGGCGGCGTCACTTCTACGTCCACCACTACTGCCATGCTCGTCAACTATCCTCACTACCCGTCGCGACCCCCCAGGCACTCTGTCGCTGAGATCCACTCCCTGGAAGTGAAAATCATCCGAGGGACATACTGTGAGCAGGCAGTTATTCAACTGCCCTGCTTACAGATTGATGGTGCCATCAGCTGGCTCCTGCGCAGAGTTGAGACCGCCACTGGTCCTTTACAGCCCAATGCCAGACTGATGCTCGCCAAGGCACAACCCACTTCCACAACGCCGGCGCACGAGACTGTGTTTGTTGTCTTGGAGGACACAAACAGTGTCTGGTCTGTCTTCGACACCAGACATTTAGCCCGAGCGGGCTCGCTTGTTGTTGCGCGAAGTGTGCATGACCTGCCCTGCCAAGACACTCTGGCAACGGCGTGTTACCAGCATGGCTGGACCCTCTTCGTCAATGGGGCGCCTATTCATCTCTGCTCTCGGAGTATTGATGATGGTGATTTTGTTCAGCCAACGCTACAGGGTGGCTTTCCGCTATCGGTTCCAACCTCCGTCATTTTGGAAGCCTGCCCGATGCTAGAAGCATACACGTGGGGGCTACCTACCCCCATTGTCCGCAATGCTCGGCAGCGTAGGGCCAGTCTGGGTTTTTACAGGCACGCCGAAGGACGCTGCTTGGTTCTGGGGCCTTGTCATGCGCCTGCCGCTTTTCGAACGCGTCACCAGTACATCCCGGACCATACTGAGATGCGAGAAGCGGTCAACGAACTCCATGACTTCCCGGGTAGGTTGTGCTCTATCACTTATGCAGAGGCACAGTTCAGGCATGAAAGGTGCACTTCAGTGTTTGCTTCTTCAGCCCGACATTCTGCCCTTGCCACTTTGTTGCTTCCTGCATACGGCTGGCCTGGACATTATGTGATTTTGCTGGCCCCTCAGAATGCACCGGGGCTTGGAGCATTGCCGATCGGCCACAACTTCCGAGTTATCGCGGAAAGACGTTGGACTCCTGGACGTGTGCTGCGGTTGTGTCTGGATGAGCCCCCACTTCCGCCTCCTGTGGCACCCCCTGTTGCACCTCAAGCTGCCCAGCCTGCTGCTGCCCAACAGCCTCCACAACAGCCGGCAATCCGTCCCGACCCTGAGGTTGACGATGAAGACATGGCACCTAGAGCTGAGACCGAAGCGACGTCCAGCATGAGTCTCCTCCAGACCACTGCGCGGCGCAGCCAGCGTCGCCCTAGCCCTGACCTACATAGCGGTGGCTCTGCACCGCCCGCTTCTGCACGAGAGCCACCATGTGGTGCCAACTGCCGGCAAAGTCTGCCGACGCCATTTGGCCGCCGGAACATACCGCGCAGGGAACCTACTAAGGCACAGGACGCACCTGGCCATTTGTCCGCCAAATGCGATGATAGGGAAGCGCGTGCTGGGAGCGCACTTGTGCTGGACACAGCAATCCCTGCTCCTGCCCGTGAAGCCAGCCTTTTGTTTGCTGTACCCGCGGACATCATGGAACCTACGCTCGATTCCTTTGACCTTGTGCATTGTCAGCGTAGGTTGCCAGCCTCAGAGCTCCTGCACCCGGCTGCGCGTCAACTTGTTTATGGGCTCCCGGTCTGGTCGAGAAACACACCCGAAGCAATTATGTTGTTTCTGGATGGGGCGTTTGAGGGAGGACATTGTACGTGGGCAGTGGCTGCTGTCGTTCAAGTTCAGGGTACTTGGTTCTGGGCGGGCTACTTCTGTGGCTTTGTTGCGGATTGCATGAGCCCAGGATCTGCCTTTGAAGGCGAACTATATGCACAGTTTGTAGCGCGCGGTGTTGTGGCACGACACTCTGTACCAAGTGCTATCTTTTACGACAACACTTCTGCAGCCAGTGTCGCAGCAGCTACTGCCGCCACAACTGCGCGCACGCGCCTCGGCAGCGCTACGGCGGCGTTGCAATTCCTGTCCCTCTACCGCAACGTTCCAGTTGCTTGCCAGCATGTCAAATCTCATCAAGGACACGCTGGCAACGAAGCTGCCGATAGCTTGGCTAAGGCACTGCTAAGAGCACAACTAGAGCCCTGTGCCCCTGCTGATGAGAATCTTGATACCTGCATCCTTGCCGGTGACTTTGACTGGCTATGGATCCATGCAGCCAGTACTGCTAGCAGTTGTTGGCCACAAATTGATCCAGATGGGGCCAGTAAGCCTATTTGCCCTGCCGCACAAGGTCCGGCGTTGCTCACTCCGGCAACCTGGCAGTTTGAGACACCTGCTGCAGCCCCTCCTACCAAACCTCGCAGACTCCTCTTCCGATGCATGACGTACAATACTCTGTCATGCACCAGCGCGCTTCAGCGCCGCTGCCTTGCTGAATTCATGCGAGCAAAGAAGGTCAGCGTCGCTGGCCTGCAGGAATGCAGACAGAACTTACAAGGACCCCAAGTTGTCGATGGCATGTTGAGGATCGCATCACCTGCACCTGAGGGCAGACAGGGTTGCCAGCTGTGGTTTGATTTACGGGCCTTGCCTTACCGCCCACAAGACTTCCGTGTGCTCTTCAGCAATCCACGGCTGTTGGTTGTGCTGTTGCACCAGGATGGTTTCAAGGCTACTTTCGTTGCAGGGCATGCCCCGGACTCGGCACAAGACGCGCAGACTCGCGCATCTTGGTGGGAACAGCTCGATGCTCGCCTTGATGCGATTCCGGCTCATTCTGAAGTCGTTTTGCTTGTCGATGCCAATGCGCGGCACACACCCGGTGAGTCACCTGACAATCCCAATGCCACAGAGTTTCAGCAGATTTGTCGCAAGCACTGCCTGTGCCGGACTGCGTCTCACGATCGTTCAGGGGGGACTTACCGTACATGGCGTTCGCCGCAAGGAGTCTGGGCATGTCTGGATTACATTGCTATCCCTCAAGCGTGGCAGCATACCTTCGATGAACTGGGGGTCCATGACATTTTGGATACCCACGCAGGTATAGACCACCAGCCAGTGCTCGCAGAGTTTACGGTTCAACTTCACAGCCCACGGCCTACCAAACGCCGTCTCGATGTTGATCGCCTGAAGGGCCCTGAGGGTCGCGACATTGTGCAGCATTGTTTCCTCACGATGCCGGATTGCCCCTGGAACCTTTCCCCTGATGAGCACCTGCAGGTCATCAACCGGCACATCCAGGCATGCCTTCAACAGCATTTCACACGCTCTGGGCCGGTTGGGCGCAAGCCTGGCATATCCAACCAGACCCTGGAACTGCTCGCAACGAAACGCGGGCTACGCCGTATCCATCACAGGCGGGCCCGGCAGCAATGCAAGGATGTGCTGTACACCTGTTTCCGAGCCTGGCGAAACCAGCGCCTTAACGGTACAAGCCCCACCTCCACATGGGGATATACGCCGCAGGCCTGGGACCGCCTCTGTGCACGCCACATTGCAGACATGCAAAGAGTGTCCAAGGAGATCCGAGCTTCCTCGATTCCTCCAGCCGGGATGAAGCGGCCTTCTCCCGATCCATGTTCCAAGAGGCACGAGGCAAAGGACCTGCCCACCTCGCGAGTCTCCTACGCTCCGTTTTGAAGGTCGGCAGGCGCTACAAGGCTCCGAGGACTGCTAGTGCCATCGTCGACCAGGGCCATGAGGTAACAGACCCTGAGCAGATCAAACAGCTCTTCGGCAAACACTTTGGGGAGATTGAGGGAGCTAAGCCAGGTAAGCTGAGTGACATGGTTCAAGAACCCTGCGAAAATCTACTCTGTGACAAGAGAGATATCCAGGGTCTTCCTACCTTGCCGGCCTTGTCCGCCGCGTTTGCCTCTCTGCAGCCCAGGCGGGCCACAGGAATTACCGGTATTCCGGCTGAGTTCTATGCTGCCTGTCCGGCTTTTGCTGCTATGCACCACTTGCCGTTGGTGTTGAAGGTGGCAGCACGTCAGCAAGCCCCGACGCTATGGAGAGGTTTGCTCGCTGTCCCGTTGCCAAAACCGGGGAAACCTGGACACCTTCTTACAGGGTACAGATCCATAGCTCTGATGGAACCCTCCATCAAAGCAGTTGCTAAGGCTGCGCGTCCCGAGCTCATTCGCGCCTTTGAAGGTGTCACGCTTAGCACAGTTGGGGGTGCCCGAAGCCGGGTACCGACTGACCTACCCGCGGCAGCCGTGCAGCTACACCTTGAGCGACTGAGGCGAGATTCCCTTTCGGGATCCGTCGTCTTTGTTGACGGCGTCACTGCTTTCTACTCCACGACGAGAGAAATCCTCTTTGAGCAGGGTCTGCCCGCCTACAGAAAGCGTGTGTCCGAGATGCAAGTTGAGCCTGGGGTGCGACATAGGTTTCTTCAGCACCTTGACTGCAAGGGCGCCCTTTCAGGCGCTGGGGTGCCGAGTGCTTTGTGTGATGTTTTGCGGTGTTTGCTCCACAAGACGTGGTTCACCACGGATACAGGCAGTGAGGCCATTCAGTGTACCACCCAGGGCACGACACCGGGAGCACCACTTGCAGACTTGCTCTTCCAATACGCTCTTCACAGCGTTCTGACGGCCCTCACTGAACATCTCGCCGACGAACAGCTCTCTGCCCAGTTGACTGTCGCTGGACACGATCCTGCTTTGTCAGATCCTGTGTCGTGGCTTGATGACGTGGCTGTTCTGCTGCAATCTCAATCTGCCAGACATGCAGCGGGTGATGCTGCCCGTGCTACGGCCCTCATCCACCAATACCTCAGTCTCATTGGCATCGGCCTCAACCTCACTCGAGGCAAGACTGAGGCCATTGTTGCTTGGCATGGCGTTGGTGCGCACGAAGCACAAACTCAGGTCATGCAGAGGGAGGCAGGCAGCGTAGCCTTGCATATACCGGGACACACTGGCCTGGTGTTACGATGTGTCTCGCAGTACGAGCATTTGGGCAGCTTGCGTACTGCTGGTGGCGACATCGGCCCTGCAGTCGAGCACAGACACCGCGAGGCGCGTAGCGTCTACCGAGCCGTTAAGACCAGGCTACACCCTAATCCCAATCTGACGATGCACGAACGGCAAGCGATTGTTCATGCACTCATCATGAGCCGCTTTCTACACGGCGCGGGAACCTGGCTTTTCGGTACCAATGAAGCTTGGGACGGTTTTGTCGCTCGCTACTGCGGCTTGCTCAAGGGAACCATCAGGCCGCTTCATGGGTGCTCTAGCGGCCGTCTCTCCCAAGCTGAAGTGTGCGCGCTGACCAATGCCCTTCTGCCTGAAGAGATTCTGGCTGTCGCTCGCGTCCGTTTGCTCGCTTGTGTGGCCAACAATGCAGGCCTTTTCGCAAAACGGCAGTTTTCACAGCATGCCAACTGGATGCAGCAATTGCGAGCCGACCTTGCCCTTGTCGCTTCACGCATCAACGATCCCGTGCTTGCCAGCTACTCATGTAGCGATATGCCACCAGAACTCTGGCTGGATTCATGGCCATTCTCCCAGGCCCATGCCAAAAACCTGCTGGCCCGTTTCCGGCGAGGTTGTATCGCGAGCAGGGAGCACTTGGTTGGACCTGCCATTGCCAAGGCACATGCGCATGAGAGAGTCACTAAGGCCGACCTCACGTTCATTCGTGACGTTAGGTGCTCTGCCCGTGAGCTCCGCTACCAGTGCCCGGATTGCCCTGCCCTGTTTGCGACGAGAGCTGCTGCTGCAGCGCATCGTTCAAAAGTTCATGGCCACTTGTCAGCGTCCGCGCAGGCATTTGGCACAGCCTGTGAAGTCTGCCGGCGTCAATACTGGAGTACAGCGAGACTCGCTGAGCATTTCCGGAAGGCTCCACATTGCGCGGCTGTGTATCGGGAATCCGATATGGCTGGAACCGTCACGGAGGCCATCGCTGACCGCCGCGTGCCGTGCGCACAGTTGGTTGGACCCCAACCTTGGTGGGCTACGATGGCTCACGATCCCATTGCACCGCTTATTCCATCTCCCGGCGCAAACGACCCGCTGCCCAGCCTCTTGGCACTCTAGCCAACAAGGCAGCTCCACTCTTTCTTTCAGCTCTTTGCGTGTTCGGTAGAGATGCATGGCCATGACGGAGTCATGGAAGCGATCAAAGGGGTTGTACAGGGCACGGAACACTGGCGATTGGCCGTTTCCGTAGCCGATGTTTTGGACCGGGCTGACGAGATGTTCATCTTTCAGGAGGGCAGTCTCGCAGCCGCATACCGGAACGGAGCTTTGCTCTTCGGACCGGCTGTGGCCTTACGCAGTGCTGTAGCACGCGATTGGCCCTTTTTGTGAGCATGCTTTTTGAATTCGCGAGCGCGTCGTTACCGACTCATGCCGCATCGCCAAAAAACCCTAAATCCTAAACCCTAAACCCTAAACCCTAAACCCTAAACCCTAAATCCTAAACCCTAAACCTTAAATCCTAAACCCTAAACCCTAAACCCTAACCCCTAAACCCCTAAACCCTAAACCCTAACCCCTAAACCCTAACCCCTAAACCCCTAAACCCTAAACCCTAAACCCTAAACCCCTAAACCCCTAAACTCCTCAGACCCAAACTCCTACAACCCCTGAATCAAAGAGCACTGGGCCCCCGAACCGAGTTGCGCCTGTGTGTTGCACGCCTGACAGCGCGGGTGGCCTCCGGCGAGACTTTGGTTTTCGGGGCTTAGTTGTGAGATTTAAGGCTTTCAGGGTTATAGAGTCAGGTTGTGGCTACACGGCTACAATTATAGGGTTTGTATGGTTTCGGGGTTGAATTAAGGGCTTGACGGGTCATTCGGATTACACGGCTTAGGGGTCAAAGGGTTTCCGTGGGTTCAGTTTGCTTTTTGAGATTTGGGGTTCAGGGCGCTTGGCACCACTATTTTCGAGGTCCGATAGCTTATAGCTGGTCACAGTGTTAGAATTTCAATCACGAAGATGAGCCTTACCCGAACAAGCATCTATGGTTGTAAACTGAGAAACCCACCCAAACTGCACAAACTAGGCCTGTAAACACAAAAAAAGTTTAACACCCTAAGCCTTTATCAAACCAACCAAAACCTTGACACAGCGCGTATTAAAACCCGTATTAAATGTGTAGTATAGGATACAGAGCCCTATATGCGGCAACTTTGAAAATAGAACGCTGCCCGAAACCCAAACCCCAAAACGTCAAGGCTCCTGATGAATCGCGCTCGGCGCCGATCAGGCATTCGGCATGTACTCGGTGGCCACACCTTGTGCTAATAATGTAAAGGTATAATTAAGGTACTTGGCTTTCGGGGCTATGGGGTATTGCTTTCAGGTTTAATTATTCTGGGCTCCACACTCCGATTTCAGACACCTATGGTTGATGATATAAATCCTGCATTACCCATATAATAAGGAATATATCATAATTCCCATAGTTTAGGGTCCTTAAAGTAATGCAGGATTTATATCATCAACCCTGCATCCTGAACCCTCAAACCCTAAAGATCCCTTAAAAGAACCCCTTAAAGGTACCCCTTATAGATCCCTTTAAAGGAGCCCTAGGATTTATATCAACCGTAGGACCCTTCTCGAAGTCTCCAGCTTGCGAGTTTATCGCCATCGAAAACTGGATGTGAGGGCGGGGGGCAAAGGTTGAGAACATCATAATACTAGGGCCCCAAAAAGGCACATAAGCAAAAACTAGGATAGGGATATCCCATATAGACCCCCTTATAATGAAGCCCATTAAGGGTGGGATATCCCTATAAAATGCTTATGCTTATGTGCTTTTGGGGCCCCTAGAATACAGGGGCCTTAGTACTTTGAATAGGGCTGTGGGGCCTTTTATACTGACCCTCTCTGTAAGAGAGCCATACGGTAGGGTTCGGAAGGGTCCCCTTGAAGGGATGTCCCAAGACTACCTAGGAAAGATTGACATGACTCAGGGCTCAAGTCGCAGAGACCAATAAGGTACCCCTAATTTTCGGAAACTCCTAAATTTCGATGTGTTGAAAGCTTTTGGTTGGGGGGAGCCTTTCCGGCTTTAGGGCATGGTGTGCCAGGGCATTGCGGGTTTGAGGGGTTTAGGGTTTAGGGGTTTAGGGTTTAGGGGGTTATGTTGCGGTTTGGAAACTCTGTCTAGTGCAAGTATGGGGAGGTTAAGACTTAGAATATGGTGTTGGGGTACATTTGCCATGAACTCAGGAATAGTGTTTGGACATCTCTACTTGGAGGATCACGGGACTTAGTAGCTAAGGTTATAAGTACCCGAACCAGTGACTAAAAGGCAGATACCTTAGACGCTTAAGGTTTAGGGTCCAGGGTGCTAGGTTTTGGAAGGGCCCACCGCGAGCCATATAATGGAAGGATACCCTGCTGGGGGTTCTACATTGAAGACCCTGGAAGCAAAGCCATGTGATGCGGGGCTGCAACAGTGCAGGTTTCTTTGAGTAAACTCGAAACCCCGAACACCCTAATTTCGTAAACCTTAATAAACCCAACCCCAAAAACAGACACCCAAAAACCACAAGACCCTAAAGCCCTAAACCCTGAAACCCAAATCCTAACCCCGGGAAAACAAATTCTAGATCTGTGTGCTCTTGTTAAGGGATTTAGTCTTAAGTTACCTTAATTCGGAAACCGTCTTATGGACCATAGATCTCTATTGTGGTAACTTAAACTACATTCCTTAGCAAGATCCCAGAAAATCCAAAACACTGCCAAGGCTGGGGCTTTCGGAGGTCCAAGGTCCCGCATGTGGCTGTCATTGGCCCCATGCCTCAGCCGAGTTCGTGCGTCAGGGATCGGGGTTTAGGGTTTAGGGTTTAGGGTTTTGGGCTTAGGGTTTAGGGTTTTGGGTTTAGGGTTTAGGGTTTTGGGATTAGGGTTGTTTAAGTGCAGTGGCCTGCACTGCATGCACTGTGCACTGAAACGACATAAAAGCTCACCCTCTCCGGGCATGGTCCGTAGCAGGCACAAAGAAACCCCCGAGAGGAGGTCCATCTATATCAGAATTCTTATGGTGTCTATGTTTCCTTATTATTATGGTTTCTACTTATATGTATGTATGTTTATGTGTATACACATCATATATGAATAACATCATTAATTGCTCTGGGTAAGACACCAGCTCGACGGTACCCTCCAGAAGAGCCCTCTTCTGGTTCCATGGATAGGGATCGTTGCTTGGGAATGCGAAGGCAGCGCTGCCTTTTCAGTCATCTTCACGAGCTTGCGCAGTCAGTGGTTAATTCTGCGAAAAGGTTTAGGGCTTAGGGTTTAAAGGGTTTAGGGCTTAGGGTTTAAATCGTTTAGGGTTTAAAGGGTTTAGAGGGTTTAGGGTTTAGGGATTTAGGGCTTAGGGTTGCCACATGAAATACAGCAGTGGCAAGGATAGGCTCCACGGGAAGCTCACGCCGCAGGTTTGCTCCTGGCACTTGTCACGCCCGAAATTGCGCAGGTACGCATACAGATGTACCGGTGTGCAAGAAACCATCCGTGTTGTGATGTCCTAGGATCACATCCTGCTCGTGCAGCACCCCTTCTTTCAGCTTTCACGGCTCTTTCAACATTCTGTTGATGGCGCGCGGATTGTATGAACGTGGTGAGCCGCGTGCCACGTGCCACCGAGGACTAGGGCTTCAGGGTTAAGGGATAAAAGGCTTCTGGTTTCCGGTTTCCGTTGAGTTTATAAAGTCTTGAAGGGCTAAAGTGGGTTCAGACTTTGCGGGTTTCCGCGATTTCGCGGTGTTGATAAGGCTTTGCACAGCTTGCGATAAAGTCGAGTCGGCTCGTTGGGCGCGTAGAATCGTTGTTAGCTAGCCAGCTCCCCCTGGACTCTACATACATTTTTAACCTGTAGACCCCAAACCCAACTCCCACTAGGAAATCACCTGGTTGTTGAAATACAGAGATTGAGCCAGTAGTAGATGGCCGGCCGTAAACTGTAATAACTATGGTTCTATTACTTTGTGCTCGGGCTGCCGGGTAGATATACTATGAAAGACTAGCGACAACCTCCAGAAACCCACACTACCAAAACAGCCCGACAAAACAAACCTGAAATTCCAGTTTCAAAAACTTTCCCATGGTTTGCGCACTGACACCCCACATAGAAGGCGTTGAACAGCTGGACATACGATCCACCTAGATCTGAAGGCCGGGCAAAACATGTATAAAGCCCTACATGAATCGTGTTTCTATTATTCGGGCCTCGATATTGAGACCTGTATCGACTGCTACACAGAAGCCTTCTTAAAATTCGAATATACTTCCAGAACACCCTAGCCTTCAAACATCAGACTTCGTTTACGCACCTTAAGCAGCCTAAAGACCCTCAATTCTAACCCCAGACAGAACCCAAAACGAGCAACTACAGAAGCATCATGGTAGCCTTATATGACCCGTATAGCACCCTTGAAGGACACCATAAACTCTAGAATCATGTAAACCCCTTACGAGTGAAGGCCCCTTCACCAAACCTCTGCCAAAATCTATAAAGTCCTATAAGAACCTGTCAACCCCTACCCCTAGGAAACCCAGAAGCAATCCCTCGCAACCCCTGAAACAAAAACAAGCAGCAGACACTGAACAATTCCTATGCACCTATCCACCTATCTACCTATGTATGTGTGCATGCATGCATGTAGAGATTATATGTATGTCTATATATATATATATATGTCTATAGATATATGTATGTATGTATGTGTATATATATATATATATCGTATAGCACCCTAAATAGTAGGATCCTTATTATACGGACCCCAAAATACCCAAAAACAAGGTGCCCCTATTTTCGGAAACTCCCATAAATACATATATATATATATATAACTATATACACAATGTAAATGTGAGCCTTTTTTGGGCTGCCCGGCAAACTCCGCAGACCAGCCCGCGAGCGATGTGGCTGAGGATCTCCAAGGCTTTCCGCTCCTGACAGCAGCGGAAGTCTAGGGTTCCTTTAAAGGGGTACTACATGGTTCCTTATAAGGGTTCCTTTAAAGGAGTACTAGAAGGGTCCCTTGAAGGGGCACTCTAAGGGCTACTATAAGGGTACTATGATATATAGAGTGTCGGGCTGTGGGTTTTAAGTTGACAGAGGTGTGATGGTTTAGGGGTGTGGGGTATGGGGGTGTAGGGTTTGGGGCGCTTGGAGGGTACGGCGTCTCAAATAGGGACAGAAGGGATGCCGAGAACACCCCAAACCCTCAAACCCTAAACCCTGTAAATCCCTAAACCCGGAACCCCAAACCCCTAATAATCTTAAAACCACTAAACCCAAGTTCAAGGATTCAGGCGTCGCTCTCGCTCGGATGGTCGGCTGACAG